TGGCTATCTTTACGCCCGGATTTCCATCAGAGTTTCCATGGGTGGCCTAGGTGAGAGCATGGCTGCCCTGGAAACTTCCGGGGCCGAATGATATGCACCTCCTTGGCCATTGTCATGAGAGGACAATGGGCTTGATGGCCTAACCATGGACTAGAATTTTCCCTATGTTTGTAACATCAGCGGTACTCCCTTCCCTTGGACTTTGTCTCCCCTGATGATTATATGTATTCGGTGTCGGAACTCCTCGCCCTGCGAGATTCTCCCCTCTCGCAGGTTTGGCCCTCCACATTATTGAGGGCCTATCTCGATGACGGACTTTGGAGTCCAGAGAGATGGCATGGAGCAAGGAAGAATTTGTGGGGTTTTTTAGGGAAATTTTTTAAGATTTTAAGGGGTTCTGGGAGGGGGGTTTGTAATGATCTTTCTAGAGAAATTGGGAAGAAGACTCTGGGGGATGGGGGGGGAAATCCACCAGGGTCAGAGCCGAGCCCGGCACAGGGTAACGATTTGGGAGGTGTTGGTCGAGGGACTGGGAAAGGGATGGGGGATGATACCTATGAGGTCTGTACCATCAGCACAGTAGATGGGAGGGGCAGATATGGCGGGAGCAGGGGACCATATCATGTGTTGGGGGCTCGCACTCGCTGTTTGAGAGCAATTGCTTGCCCCGGTCCCCATGGCTCCTCTCGGAGACTAGGTGGCTTAGACACTCAGGATCTGGGCCTTCGGCTGATGTTATGCAATGCCAGGTCCGTGGTTAATAAGGCCCCCCTCATTCACAATCTTATACAAGAGGGAGGAGCGGACCTGGCGGGTATTACGGAGACCTGGTTGGGCCCGGAGGGTGGCGTCCCTCTGGTTGAAATGTGCCCACCAGGCTTCAGAGCATTCCATCAGCCGAGGGCCCAGGGGAGGGGAGGGGGGGTGGCGGTTATTATTAACGAGGATCTGGATCCGAGGGAGACCACTGTGCCTCAGATAGCCGGATGTGAGTCCCTCCTTGTGAGGTGGGGCCGTGGGGTTCAGATGGACTTGTTGCTTACGTACCTGGCTCCCTGCCGCGTGGCAACAGCCCTACCTGAGCTACTCGATGTGATAGCCACGGTGGCAGTAGATACACCCAGGCTTTTAGTCATGGGTGATTTCAACTTGCCATCCGTCGGTGAAACGTCTGAGGTGGCTCGGGAGTTCATGGCTTCCATGATGGCCATGGACCTGACCCAGTTAGTTCATGGCCCTACTCACAGGGGAGGTCACACTCTGGATTTGATTTTTGTCTCTGGCCAGTGGTTGAGTGGTCTTGTTATAGGGGATATAGACATGGAACCCTTGTCATGGACTGACCACTCACTCCTTCACCTAGATCTTCGAACCGCGACCCCTCGCCGCAGGGAGGCGGACCCAACTAGATGGATCCGCCCCAGGCGCCTGATGGATCCTGATAGGTTCCAGACGGAGCTTGGGCCATTTCCTGAGGATCTAGCACATGACTCGGCCGAGGACCTGGTAGCCGCCTGGGATCGGGCGGCTGGTGGGGCCTTGGACCAAGTTGTGCTTTTGCGGCCTCTGACCCGATGCCGATCCCGGGCGGCTCCTTGGTTTACTGAGGAGCTGAGGGAAATGAAGCGCCGGAAAAGACGCCTGGAGAGCGGTTGGAGGGCCAGTCTTGCTGAATCTGATCGAACACTGGTAAGGTCGCATATTAAGGCCTACCTAGTGGCGATAAAGACGGCAAAGTCTAACTACTTTTCCGCCTCTATTGCGTCATCAGGGAATCGTCCAGCCGCCCTGTTTAGGGTGACCCGCACCCTGCTCCATCTGGGAGTGCGGGAGGATCCCTTAGAAGGCAGGGCGGAGGATTTCGGACAATACCTGTATGACAAAATCGCTCAGATCCGGGGGGATTTGGACTCTGACTGGGTAGATCAGGGCAGGGTGACGAGGAACAGTCTTGAGAATGTTATCTGGGAGGAGTTTGATGCTGTGACTCCCGATGATGTGGACAGGATTTTGGGGAGACTTAGTGCGGCCACATGTTTACTGGACCCGTGTCCCTCCTGGTTGGTACTGGCTTCCCGGGAGGTTACACGAGGCTGGCTCCAGGGCGTCATTAATGCTTCGTTGAGTGAGGGTCACTTCCCCGCTGCCCTGAAAGAGGCGGTGGTGAGGCCTCTCCTCAAGAAGCCGTCCCTGGATCCAGCAATATTGGCTAACTATCGTCCTGTCTCCAACCTTCGCTTCACTGCGAAGGTTGTTGAGAGTGTGGTCGCGCAACAGTTTCCACAATTCCTGGAGGAAACATCCTATCTAGATCCGTTCCAGTCGGGTTTCAGGTCTGGGCACAGCACGGAAATGGCATTGGTCGCGTTGGTGGATGATCTCTGGAGGGCTCGGGACAGGGGTTATTCCTCTGTTCTGGTCCTATTAGATCTCTCAGCGGCTTTTGATACCATCGACCATGGTATAATGCTGCACCAGCTGGAAGAGTTGGGGGTGGGAGGCACTGTGCTGCGGTGGTTCTCCTCCTTCCTCTCCGACCGGTCGCAGTTTGTGTTGGCAGGGGGGCAGAGGTCGACCTCGAGGCCTCTCATTTGTGGAGTGCCGCAGGGATCGGTCCTCTCGCCCCTTCTGTTCAACATTTATGTGAAGCCGCTGGGCGAGATCATCCGTGGCTTTGGGGTGAGATACCACCAGTACGCTGATGACACCCAGCTGTACATCTCCACCCCAGGCCACCCCAACGATGCCCTTGAAGTGATGTCCCAGTGCCTGGAGGCTGTGCGGATCTGGATGGGGAGGAACAGGCTCAGGCTCAACCCTTCCAAGACTGAGTGGCTGTGGCTCCCGGCATCCCGATATAGTCAGTTGACTCCATCACTGACTATTGGGGGCGAGTCTTTGGCCCCCACTGAAAGGGCTCGCAATCTGGGAGTCCTCCTGGATAGGCAGCTGTCTTTGGAGGAACATCTGACGGCTGTTACCAGGGGGACCTTTTATCAGGTTCGCCTGATTCGCCAGTTGCGGCCCTTTCTTGATCGGGATTCCTTGTGCACAGTCACTCACGCCCTCGTCACCTCTCGCCTTGACTACTGCAACGCTCTCTACATGGAGCTCCCCTTGAAGAGCACCCGGAGGCTCCAGCTGGTCCAGAATGCAGCAGCACTGGTAGTGATGGGAGCAACATGGCACTCCCATGTAACACCACTCCTGCGCGAGCTGCCCTGGCTCCCGGTGGTCTTCCGGGTGCGCTTCAAGGTGTTGGTTATCACCTTTAAAGCGCTCCATGGCATAGGGCCTAGCTATCTCCGAGACCGCCTGCTGCTACCGACGACCTCCCATCGACCTGTGCGCTCCCACAGAGAGGGCCTCCTCAGGGTGCCATCAGCCAAACAATGTAGGCTGGTGGCCCCCAGGGGGAGGGCCTTCTCTGTGGGGGCTCCCACCCTCTGGAACCAGTTGCCCCCGGAGATAAGAAGAATCCAGGACCTCAATGCCTTCCGTCGTTCCCTGAAAACCCATCTTTTTCAGCAAGCCGGGTTGGCTTAAGAAGAAATTTTTAAATTCTTTTAATTAGTCTGTGATTCTTAACTTTCAGGCCAAAATTTATATATATTTTTAAATGTTTTAATATTTGTATTCTATGTTTTTTATCTTGGCTGTACACCGCCCTGAGTCCTCAGGGAGAAGGGCGGTATATAAATTGGAAATTAAATTAAATTAAATTAAATCTAACAAAATAAAATTCAATGGTGAAAAAAGTAAGGTTCTACATTTAGGCAAGAACAACAAAATGCACAGGTACAGTATATGTGGTATCTCGCTCAATAGTTGTGAACTATACTACAGTTGCGAACTGGTAGTAAAGGTAAGTAGAACCGATCCCTGGACTGGAGGCTAAATCAGATGAAGAACAGCTACAAGAATTGGGTATGTCTAGTTTAATGAAAAGAAGGACTAGAGGTGACATGATAGCAGTGTTCCAATATCTCAGGGGTTGCCACAAAGAAGAGGGAGTCAAGCTATTCTCCAAAGCACCTGAGGGCAGGACAAGAAGCAATGGGTGGAAATTAATCAAGGAGAGAAGCAACTTAGAACGAAGGAGAAATTTCTTGACAGAACAATTAACCAGTGTAACAACTTACCTCCAGAAGTTGTGAATGGTCCAACACTGTAAGTTTTTAAGAAGATGTTGGATAACCATTTGTCTGAAGTGGTGTAGGGTTTCCTGCCTAAGCAGGGGGTTGGACTACTCCAAGGTCCCGTCCAACTATTCTATTCTATTCTATTCTATTCTATTCTATTCTATTCTATTCTTTTAAAATCTGCAGTTGATCTTATGAGTAGACAAAGTAAATTTTAACTTGTAGTATATCATAATGCCACTTCACAAATTATAGTCCTCAAGTTTCTTATGGCTTATTTCCCGAGAAAAGCCTTTATAGAATTTCTCTTTCAAACAAGGCTAACAGCCTATTTAGACAGAAAATATACGATTACCAACTACACACCTTTAACACACTTGCAATAACTTATAGGTGGAAGATTTGACTCATTACGCATTACATTGCAAACTATAGCAGGAATTTGCTGTAGATTCATGATGCCCTGGTTAATCCAATTGAGAGAATCTAGATTAGAACAAGAAAATTGTTTTTGTTGTCTGATGAAGACATGTAACAAAACATCGTATTGCTTGCAATGGCTGCAAGGAAGCTACGAAAGCACATACTGAAAAATTATGCTTTTAATATTAGAGGGGATGTATTGTATTCAATTGATATGACTGCTATAATTTCATACGTATTTTGCTAATGGTTTTGCTTATTTTGCTATATTTTGCTTGTTTGCTAAGGTTGCAAGTAAATGTTTAAATACAAATATGTGGCAGCCTGCACATTTTTGTGCTTAAGTTTGGTGAAGAACTATATCGACCATAGAGGCCATAAGAGAGAAACAAACAAACAAACAAAAAAGTCCATAAATATACACACATACACACACAATGGTGAATCTCCCCATGATTATTAAACCAAGCAATCTTAACTTATCAATTAAGTTAACTGATAACTTAAGAAAAACTGAAATATCCCTGATATATTTTCTTGTGCTTTGGTTGGGTAAATGCGTCAACCCAACCATCCTGCATGGGAACTCAGTCAATCCGTGGACGTCAATTTTCAAACCACTTGGAGAGATCCTGGATAATCTTGGGCTGTTTCCCCACCTTTCTGATTACGTTACAAACTTTGCAAAAATGTTCGGTCAAAAAAGGCGACACCTTCACATCATACTGTTTCCTCCAAGCGAAATACCTTTGGTACATGTTCTTGTTTTTATCTAGGAATTTCAGGTAAATCGCCAGCTCCATGGGGTCGGAGAAGTCATTGGCATGAATGAAGGCGTCGGAGGGGATAAACCGTTCGTAGTTGGCCCTCGGGGGACCCAAGACGATGGGCACGGCCCACGACTCAAAGGCGTTCCTCCAGAGTTTCTCCGTGATGTAGTCATGATGCTGGGAGTTTTCAAAGGCCAAATAAAACTTGTATTCCGAGACAGTCTTCACCACATTGTTGTCTTTGAGCGACAGTCTACGAGATCCATAAACATCAATGGGGAGATATTTTTTCAGCTGGTGGTAATAACGGACCCGGGCGTGACTTTCATTCCAGTTACTGACCACCCAGGCCACCAGCTTGGTCTTCTTGGGCAAAGTGAACTTGACTAGGGGCTGCGGCCGAAGCTTGAGGTACCCATAGGGTGCAAAGACATCCGAATCCATCCGGTAGGTCATAGTCCAGTTGAAAAGGCCGCTCAGGTTATACAGGCCCGTGGTGTGGGTGGGCGACTCTAAGTTCATCCAGACCCACCGCTGGTCCGCCGGCCTCTGCTGGGGCAGCCAGGCGAGGCGATGTATCTGCAGGTCCCTGTGATGGAAGACGATCGCGTGCGCTTTGCGTTGGAGGAGGCGGCTGGTGGAGAGGCGGCAGGCGCTGATGTTGAACGGCCAGCAGTCGTAGGAGAAGCCGCCGCGCCCGAAAGGATCCCACCACACCAGCACCGTCAGCGTCTCCGCCGTCGTCGTCTCGGGTTCTTCATCCTCTCGCCATTGGCCTTTGAGCGCCGCGGAGTCCTTCACGCTGCTGGCCATGTACCAGCCGAGCAGGGTGCAGCAGGTCAAGCAGGCCGCCAGAACGGGCCGCTGCCGCCCGCTCGGCGCTTTCCACAAGGCTCGGCGGCCTAGGGATTCTTCAGAAGCCGGCTCGGGGGCTTCCATGAAGAGGCCAAAGAGCCCAAGCGATTCCGGTGGGCGGCGGCGGCGGCGGCTGCAGCGGGGACTGAGGGGGATAAGCCTCGCGGCGGCCCCGGCCCAAAAGCCCCCTCCAACTCATAGAGGGTGATGTTAGAGCATAAGCGATTGTTACAGGTGCCTGACTTTATTTGGGCATGGATGAAACACGCATTAACTTTTGGATATTTGCTTTTTTTTTTTTTTTCATTAGGGATTCAAAGGGAAATACAACAATCGATAAAGGTGCTGCTCAGTGATTGCCTCTTTTCTCTCTCTCTTAGCTATTTCAAATGCTACTGATAATATGTAAGTTGTGTGCAAAGTGTGGCGTTTTGTGGCTCCCTCTTGCAGGCTCCTGGCAGAGAGCTCAATGCCTCATTGTAAACATTTCCAATTAAAGTATATTTTTCTTCTTTCTGTCTCCTAATGACTTAATTTTTAGAACGTAGAATAACAAGAGTTGGAACTTGGAAGGGATCTTCTATTCCAACCCCGTGCTGCAGCAACCTATTTGAGGTTTTATTTTATTTTTAACAGGAGACCTTTCAAGTCAGCATGTTTTTCTCACAAAGCCCATTAAATGTTTTTAAGGATTTTCTTAAATAAAGGACTTACGTGTTAAAGGTATTTCTAAGATATTAGATTTTTTTTTTTTTTGGTATAGTTGGAACAGATAAAAATGCACAGGTCTCTTTTTTAAAATTAACGATGACACCTCATACTTCTGTAAAATCTTGCAGCTCCTTTTTTATTTTATTTTATTTTATTTTAAAAAGAATGTATTGCATTTGAAAGAGTTCATATTGTATCTCCTCTAAATAAATAGAATATTTCCCCCTTATTATTTGCCCATGTAGCTTTATCGTTCATTCATTCATTCATTCTTTATTTTATTTTTTTTGCTTTAATTTATATGCCGCCCTTCTCTGGAGACTCAGGGCGGCTTACAATGCGTTAAGCAAAAGCCTTCATACTTTTGTATATTTATACAAAGTCAGCTTATTGCCCCCACAAACCGGGTCCTCATTTTACCTACCTCGAAAGGATGGAAGGTTAGGTCAACCTTGAAGCACTTAGCAGCCAGACTGCAGATCTGTGGCTATTTGCAACATTCTACAATCACGATTAGGTTTTATGATGGTTCTGCCAAAACCTGGTGTTTACTTCAGGCAAATCATTGCTTCACTTAAGGACTGTGGCAGTCACCTTATATCTGTGGCTGTCACTTAATGACCACCACACACACACAAAAAAAGTAGAATTGTAGTTCTACATATAATGTAGAATTCACATGAATTTACAACCAAAATGATTTATGACCATGATGGGCAGGCTCCATATACAGAAATAATTCGAAGACTACCTGCATATCATAGCTAGTACAGATCACTAATGCAAAATCACAGGATATCTTGTGAACACAAAGCATTCTAAGATCTTTAGGTTATTTTTTTAGTTTTTTAAAATTTACTTTATTGTCATTGCACCTTGTACAATGAAATTAAATGCCATCTTTAGTGTACATTATACATAAAAAATAAAACACAAACACACATCCTTCACATTCTATACAATTGAATTGAAAACTCCTGATGTTGCATTAGTGTTGCACTGTACAGTAGAATTCAGTACAGTTACTGCTCTGGAATAGAAGCTGTTTTTCAGCCTATTTGACCTTGTTTTTATTATTATCCTGTACCGTCTGCCAGATGGTAATAGTTCAAAAAAAAGGGTACCCAGGATGAGATGGATCTTTAAGGATATTTTGAACTTTCTTAAGGCAGTGGGAGCTATAAAGCTCTTCCAAGGTGGGAAGAGGGCAACTAATGATCCTCTAGGCCAGTGTTTCTCAACCTTGGTAGCTTGAAGATGGGTGGACTTCAACTCCCAGAATCCCCCAGCCAGCGCTGCTGGCTGGGGGATTCTGGGAGTTGAAGTCCACCCATCTTCAAGCTTCCAAGGTTGAGAAACACTGCTCTAGGCAATGATGTTAACCCTCTAGAGCGCTGTTCTATCTGCCACTGTGCAGTTGGCAAACCATACACAGGTGCAGTAAGTTAAACTTTAGATCAGGTTGAATGTGCCGTTTTAATACTGTTTTAATCTACTGTTTTTTAGCATTAGCATTAGATTCTCCCATAATAGGCAGCATATCGGGCAGCAAAACAATTATTTATTTACAATCTATTATTTACATTCACTTATTGTACCCTGCTTCAATATTTCGAATAATAGAAAGCGGTGTAGCATACAATTATATAAAAGAAATAACAAAAGTTTGTATTTTGACATATTTCAGTATTTGCCACAGAATTTGAATTTTGTTGACTTTTTAGCATTTTTTTTTTGCCAATTCCAACCCTTGCATTTATAAGCATGAATTGTTGGCAAGTCCTGTACCAAACTATAAGATGGAAACAAAATCTCTTTTGTTGTAATATGAGGACCAAAGAATGTGTGGTGAAGCAATCACAAAGAAATAAAGGATTATTTACTATTTGTTTTTATTTATGTGTGAGATATATATAGATATTATATATATATTATACCAAATTTATATTTCGCTGATAAAGAAATAAAGGGAGACTAGTATAGATCTATTTCAAGCTATTTAGCTCTCATCAGCTAGCCATACCCTTACTATATATATGCTTGGCTTTTAGGATAATTGTCTCTTCACCTACAAAACAGTTTCTAAGTTATTATATTTAAAGACACATCAAAATACATACAAAATTATAAACTTAATTTACAAAGGTAACAATAAATACAACATGCAGTCCTACTCTGGGTTTGTTAAAAACAACACAGTTGTGGGATAAATGTTATGAATAAATGAAATACAAGTGAATTGAAGCTATAAAAGTAGTAATAACAGATGTAAGATACAGTATATTCAAATAAACAAAAGTAACTCGTACTCAAACAGGGATAGACTTAAGAGAGATTTTGGTCTTTTCTACGTGGTAACAGACATGTGAAATATATTTTTAACAACCACAGTTGATTTTGCTGCTGTGTTTACCCAAAAAAGGAAAATCAGTTCCATTTCCCCAAATGAATTTATTTGAAATGGGACAGCCAACACAAATTTGTAAATACAATAATAAAAGTGATATCTTTTTCCGTCTGTCTTTTGTAAGGTGCTTTTTCAACGGAAGGATATTATCGCCCTTTAAATAAATAGGGTTGTGTATATCTCTAGTATTCACTCATTTCTTTTTCTATGTGTGGTAGGGAGTTAATATGTCCTCTTCTGCAAGGCAGTTGTTCTAAGTTTGAGATTTGATCTTTTCCCATCTTAATGTTAGCCCCAGGTCTGTCACTTCAGATACACCATCTCAGATTGATGGGGGCAACCAGAAATATTTTCATTCCTGGAAGGGATTGAAACAAGAGGAAACTTGAGGAAACTGGTTTGGAAGCTTTATCTAATTCCCCTGACACTAGATTAGCTTACAAAATTGGATTGCTTTCGGAAGAGGGGCTTGCCATGTACAACAGGGGTGCCCAGCCTCTAGGCCATGGGCCGGAACCGGGCTATGGCATGCCAGAAACTGGGCCACGCAAACAAGGGAAGCCCCATCTGCAGGATGCAGGCAGAACCCGAAAGCATGCCCCCTCTCCATAGAACCAGTCCCTGGGGCCCAAAAGTTTGGGGGGCACTGATGTACAGGATTCTAGTTCTGGGATTTTTTTGCCCCCTTTTTTAATCATTGGGATTTGAGAGAAAAGATAAGGGGTCTGTGGAAATATGTATAAAAATATATCTAGCAATGTCCAATTCAGGGCTAAACTTGAGCAATATCTCTAACTTGGAGATCGATGACCAATGTCATTAATTTTACTTCAAAACATCCAATAGAAACACTCTTTTTTTTTTTTTTACTGATTTTTAGTAGGATGTGCTCTCCCACCCCAGCAGAGGAAGCAAGAACTGTGAAGGTTCCATCACTCTTAACTTACCCTGGAAACATAGTGCACCAAAATAGTAATCCTCTTTTCAGGAGCCAACAATCTTTGGAAGCAATGGGCCCTACCACATTGTGAAACTCAAAATAAAAATAAACTATTTAAAAATGTGTGTTTTAAAACTAAAAGAAGTTAAAAGTACTCCAAATGGGATTTGTTCATATAAGAAAGAACACCTTGCAAAAGAGAAATGTATCTTGGGCATCATATAGATGGTGAACAAGGAAATAATATAACCCAAAATATAACGTTTCTTAACAAAACAATGAAATGGCAATTGGAAATTTATCTTCTTTAGCTTTGTACTCATCTTGGTCCTTAATGGTGTCCACATGTTCACCATTTCCCCTTGCCAACATAATAGGACAAGAAAATCTTTTCAAAATAACAGAATAACAAAATTGGAAGGGACCTTGGAGGTCTTCTAGTCCAACCCCCTGCTCAAGCAGGAAACCCTATGCCATTTTCCTCCTTAGGAGATTTTCTCTACAAGCAGATGGAAAAAGAGGATTCAAAGAACTTTCCTTTCTATATTTTAAAAAAAGGAGATGGTGAAAAAAACCACTCTCTCTTAACAGAATGCTTGAAACATTTTTGGAATATTATTGAAGTTTCTCACCAGCAAAGGGAAACCTGTGACTGGGAAAGTCCACTATCCATTCTCAGACTGGAGTGGAATTAAATATTCCTCTGATATGGAACCAAAAACGAGGTCTAGTAAAAGGGGCAATTTTCATTCTGCTGTAATGGTAGATATTATAAGGCAGAAGTAAACCAATTCTGGGATTTCAGCCAGATGGACTTGGAGAGGAGGGTACAAATGCAATGGGGACCATTCTTTTTGAGGAATAGATGCTGATTTCCAATCCCTTATAGGCAGGCCTTGACTTACAACTACAATTGGGGAGCAGAATCTCCGTTACTAAACCAGGCTTAGTTACTTAAGCGAGACATGCACTTTCTCTCACAGTTGTTAAGTGAATCAATACAGTTGTTAAGCAAATGACATGGTCATTAAGCTAATCTGGCTTCCCCCATTAATTTTGCTTGTTAAAAGCCAGCTGGGAAAGTTGCAAATGTCAATCAAATGACTTGGAACGCTGCAATTTGATCACGTGACCGGGGGGGGCGGGATCTGCAATGGTCCTAAGGGGAAGGACCAGTCATAAGTCACTTTTTCTGTGCTGTTGTAACTTCAAACAGTTGCTAAATAAATGATTGCAGATCGAACACTTACAGTAATACTGATTACTGCTATCTCAGAAACCTTTTGCCTCCAATAACCTGGAGGATTGAGTGTAAAAAAGGATGGAAAAAACCACCGAATTTCCCTTTCTCCTATCTCTATAAGCCTTAAGCAATTCATTCTTTACTGCACAGTTTAATCAATCAATAGTGTTTGAAAAAGCAGCACAGTTGTTCTCAGATCAAAACTGGCTTTGATGTAGGTCAGTATAAAATCGTACAAAGACCATGAGTAATTAAGCTCAAAGTTAATGTTTTCCATTTGCTCAAGCTGCCAGTGTGGTTTAACAACTTTGGAGGACCTTACAAATAGAAAATACCAACTTCAAATTTACTCGGAACGATCTGGAGAAATGGGACGTTTTTATTTTTGTTTTTGTTTTTGTTATAAATAGTGAATTATTTGGTAGTGAACTAAGTCATAGACATAGATGATCATCTTAGATACACTGGTTGGCAGGTGCATAGCTTCAAATTTTATTTTATAAGCAACTTTATAAATACTAAAATATAGTTGTCTATGTTCGGATAAATGTGACAGCCATAGATTTCCTTTTCTTCCGTGACTTCCATCAGAGGAGATTCAATTTTTCAGAATGACTATCCTAGAAAGGAGAAAGTATCAAAATTGAGATTCGTAAGTATTGCATTTGTGGAGCAGTTCTGTGACTTGTTTTAAACAAATAAATTTCATCATGAGTGGAAGGAAATCAAGTAATTCTTCCTAAATGGAAAGTGGAAATCTACTTAAGTTGTCATAGACATTCCTACTCATCCAGGGTCTTTTCCATTAAGGACAGAATATTAATGAAATATAAGTTATTAGGGCCCCAACAACGTAAATTTTTAGTAAATAAAAAATGAAGTTGTTCCCTTCATAAATCAGAGAAATCTGAACATGATTGTGCAATGGGGAATACCCCCAATCGAAAACTCATTTTAAAACCTGATGCAATGAAAAACTAAGCAACTCTAACCATAAATACTTCCAAATAAATTGCAGGGAGTTTTATTCCCAGATATATCAGTTAAATTGTTTGATTAAAAGTGGGAAGAGTAGTCCCAAAGGTGTTTTCTTTCAAAGGGCAAATGGGCTTTCTTGTTTTGCTTAAAGATGTTTCATCTCTCATCCTAGAAGATTCTGCAGTTTTGACTGAAGGGTGGAGAATGGAAGGATTTACCGTATTTTTCGGACTATAAGACATACTTTTTTGTCTCCCAAAAGGGGGCGAAAATGTCTGTGCGTCTTATAGACCAAATATTGCCAAAAAATGGGCTGAAAAAAGCCTCGAAAATGGGGTGAAAAAAGCCTCAAACATGGGCCAAAAAAAGCCTCGAAAATGGATTGAAAAAAGCCTCAAAAATGGGCTGAAAAAAAGGCCGAAAAAAGACTCCAAAATAGGCCAAAAAAGCCTAAAAAAGGGCCAAAAAGCCAAAAAAAATGGGCCAAAAAAAGCCCTAAAAACGGGCCAAGAAACCCTCAAAATGGGCCAAAAAAGCCTCGAAAATGGACTGAAAAAAGCCTCAAAAATGGGCTGAAAAAAGACTCCAAAACGGGCCAAAAAGCCTAAAAAACGGGCCAAAAAACAAAAAAAAATGGGTCGAAAAAAGCCCTAAAAACGTACCAAGAAACCCTCAAAATGGGCCAAAAAAAACCCTCAAAAATGGGCAGAAAAAAGCCCAAAAAAGCCCCCAAAATAGGCCAAAAAAAGGCTGAAAAGGGGCTGAAAAAAGGCCTGAAAAAAGGGAGGACAAAAACTTTTTTTTGTTGTCTTCCTCTTCTAAATTTAGATACGTCTTATAGTCCAAAAAATATGGTATATTCCTTGCAACATGTGGTCATTTGGAGGTTTATCTATGCCCTCAGAGTCACCTGAATCCTGCAGTTTGCAATTTTGTTTCTGGAAATCCTTTCATACTCTTGCACAATTTGGTGTGCCAAAGGTGTTTTCTTTCAAAAGGTAACTGGACTGTCTTCAAGCAAAATGAGAAAACCCGGTTGCCTTTTGAAAGGAAACACCTTTGGGGCACCATGACCTGGATGACTGAGAATCTCAATAGACACCTGGAAGAGTAGTGTTCGTATCTCAGCTCAACCTTGAAGGTCATTGAATGGATAGGTCAGTTGGGTCAGCTACTGTACATCAATCCTGAATATCAATGGGGAGATAGACGTAGCAATCAGGATTGGCCTAACATCTTATACGACAATAGCAATAGCACTTAAGACTAATATACTGCTTCACAGCCCTCTCTAAGCGGCTTACAGAGTCAGCTTATTGCCCCCAACAATCTGGGTCCTCATTTTACCCACCTCGGAAGGATGGAAGGCTGAGTCAACCTTGAGCCTGGTGAGATTCGATCTGCCAAACTGCTGGCAGCCGGTGATCAGCAGAAGTAGCCTGCAGTACTGCACTTTAACCACTAAGCCACCGCAGCTCTTGTATTTATATACAATATTTCTGTGGGTTATAATAATCTTCCATTTAGCAGTGTTCACACATGAACTGGCTTCTAGTAATCAGGAACTAAAACTTCTAAAGATCTCCATCAAAAGGAAATGTATCCCCAAACCACAGAAGACAATCTAAAACTAGCCATGAATCGGAGGGCTGTTTTATATCTTCTGTTTAGAAGGCATTCAAAAGAATCTGTGTGATATAACTGAGAAACATGGATTAAACAGCCTTTCTGTTCCAGCTAATCCATCATCAAAAATTATTCAGAATTATTCAAATTATTAAAACAGCTGTAGTCCATTGGGTTGGTAATATAAGGTATAAACCCAGTTGTGAATATATGCTGCAGATCTAACTAAAAAAAAATCATTGTATATATATATATATACTGTAAGTTGGAAAACTATCTTTGGTTATCTGGAATTTCCGAATACTGCTTTTGTGTTTCAAAATTGCAGGTAACTATTTGAAGTAGACATTGCAGGGGGAAAGATGTATTAAGCCAAAAACCTGAAGCAATGTTATAACAATTTTTAGATTAACATTTTTTTAAAAAAATATATAATAACTTTCCTGAGTTATAGAGAAATAGAGTTTTTTCCCTATCTCTTGACTGCCATCTGGGAACTTTCTTAATTTATGTAGTTTAGAGAAAGTAGCTCTCTTCTATTTATTTATCTAGTGTATGGAATAGAATACATGAATAACAATAATAAGATATATATAAAAGGAGCACATGATACTATGATACACATATAATGCAAATACGTTGTCAATTTTGTATGGTAGGAGGAATTCAAGAAATGAACCAATGTATTTCAAAATGTAACTTGTAACTTATATATAAGTTATATAGATTACATTTTGAAATACATTGTACATTTTGAAATATGTTGGTTCATGAGAATAGAATAAATATTCTACCGTGTTTCCCTGAAAATAAGACCCGTTCTTTTCTTTTTTTTTGGTCTTCAAAAGAGGCATTAGGTCTTATTTTCGGGGGATGTCTTTTTCACTGTCTCACCTCGCGGCGGCAGCGCCAACAGCCCTATCAAGCAGGAGCCTGTGTGGCTACTGCCGGCCCACTTCTCCTGCGGCCACTTGCTGTTCCTCACATGCAGTGCCCCCTGGCCTCAAAGGCCCTGACAGCAAAACAAAGGCCGCAGAAGTGGGCCGACAAGACGAGTCAAATGTCAAGGTGTGGGAGGCCTGGCTGCAACTGTCCTAAAGTAAGCGGGGGCACGTGGGACAGCTCCACCCCCATCCCCACTCTAGCTTGAGGTGGGGCCTCACCCCACCTTGTGCAACCAGGTGCAAAGGAGTGGGTGGGGTGTTAACTAGGGCTTATTTTGGGGGGTAGGGCTTATATTGGACACGCATGTAAAATCAAGCTAGGACTTATTTTTGGGATAGGTCTTATTTTCAGGGAAACACAGTATATTAATAACTAGGCCATTTATCCAATTAAGAACAGTATTTATTAGTTGGAGAAAAGCTACTTTTTTTTCCTGCATAAGCTCTGAAATAGCAGCTAGTCACGATATGATCCAGTGTCTGGCGAGCTCGCTTCTATGAATGTAATGAATGTTGGCAATCACTATGTCATTCTGTTGTTTGAAATGCACATTTTTGGTTTTGGGGAGCAGGAAAGAAAGGAGATACTACATTCTTACTTCTTATGACGGCATGCCTGGAGTAGTAAGGTTGAGAAAGGAAGCAGCTTTGATTCTGTGATGCTGGGTTGAAGGCTCCCACGGGAAAATTTCTTTTCAAGCTCCAAATTCTTTCCAGAGCCACTGTTCATAACATACAGAAGAGCATTATTATAATTGTATTGTATTGCAACCACAACCGAGACATGGGATTTAATCGAGGCAATCGCTAAGTGGAACATCACAATTTTATGATCTTACTTCAGCCTTTTTGGTGGGGGAGGGGCTTTACAAATGGATTGCTTTGAAGCTTTTTGGAACACTGTAAGCAAAAAGGAAATGCTGAAAGGCCCCATTTAGGATCTATAATGTTTCATTTGCTCAGGGGCAGGAAGTGGTCCATGGCAGTGTACATGTAGTCCTTGATTTATGACCACAATTGGGAACAGAAATCCAGTCGTAAGTTTTTGTGGTTGTAAGCTAAGGCTCCCACATGAGCAGAAATGATTTTATGAACTTTTTTGCAATGGTCGTTAAGCAAATGTGATAGTGATTAAGTGAACGTGGTGGTTATATAATAAATGCAAATCCATTCATTCAAATAGTTTTTTGCTAGAAACCAGCAAAAAAGTCACAAATGGCAGTCACCTGACCACGGAACACGACTGGTTGCCAAGTGCCCAGTATGCAATCATGTGACCATGGGGAAGGGGTGCACGGCCATTTAAGAGATGCTTTATGGGCCTTGAATTCACCGTGACTTGCTTTGGATTCATTATTACCACACAGACCAGCTCCAACCCCAAGAGAATAGATTACACACATACAATAACAAATCTATTTTCCATGTGATTTTATATTTATTCCCTGAAGCAGATCTATATTTAAAATTCAACTTTCTTCATATTCACAACACTTTTCTGTACTTAGAAGTGAGAACTTGCCACATCAGTAGGAGGTTTTCAGAAATGAATTAAAACTGAATTATTCCAAAGGGTTTTGAAGAGCTAGCTAAATACCTGTGATTTTGCTTGTGGCTGTTTTTTGCTGTCACTATTTAATAATAATAATAATAATAATAATAATAATAATAATAATAATAATAATAATAATAATAATAATAATAATAATAATAATAATAATAATAATAATAATAAAAAATGGTGATGATGATGATATCTAGGATGCTGGCAGCAACCCATATCAACCATTAGCACCAGTAAATGGTATTTGTGATGCATTTTTGAATTTTCAGTTGACTGAGTTTCATGTTTAATGAATAAAGTAAATATAATAATAATAATAATAATAATAATAATAATAATAATAATAATAATAATAATAATAATAATAATAATAATTGCCCTTGGAGCAATACCCAAAGGGCTACCCCGCTATTTAGAAATTCTAAAATTGCCGGACTTGAACATTTTGACTCTACAAAAAACCACCTTACTCGGAACAGCTTACATCCTCCGACGATACCTTAACAGTTCGTAGGTCCTTGGTTAGGACTCGAGCTGCTGAGCTATTAACCAGCCTCAAAGGCTGTGAATCTCACTAAAGATTAACTAACACAGCCAAAGTAAAAACAGAGCATACAAAATTTAAAAACAGTATTAAAATAATTAAATATTTTGGCCGTAAATTAAAACAACCCAATTTAAAATCAATTTAAAATTAAACTCAAGCCAGCCCAGCTAGTTGAAATAAATAGGTTAATAATAATAATAATAATAATAATAATAATAATAACAACAACAACAACAACAACAACAACAACAACAATAATAATAACAACAACAACAGCAGCAGCAGCAGCAGCAACAATAACAACAGAGTTGAAATGGACCTTGGAGGAGTTCTAGTCCAAACCCCTGCTCAGGCAGGAAACCCTGTGCCATTTTAGACAAAGGTTTTTCTTAAAAACTTCCAATTTTGGAGCACCCACAACTTCTAGAGGCAAGCTGTCAATTGCTTTAATTTTTTTTGTATCGATGTTCAGAATACGAACATTGTGCTCCGAAGTACAAAAGTACGAAGATATGAAATCTTCCCATTGTAAAGGTAAAGGTAAAGGTAAAGGTTCCCCTCGCACATATGTACTAGTCGTTCCCGACTCTAGGGGGCGGTGCTCATCTCCGTTTCAAAGCCGAAAAGCCAGCACTGTCCGAAGACGTCTCCGTGGTCATGTGGCTGGCATGACTAAACGCCAAAGGCGCACAGAACACTGTTACCTTCCCATCAAAGGTGGTCCCTATTTTTCTACTTTCCTTTTTTACGTGCTTTCGAACTGCTAGGTTGGCAGAAGCTGGGACAAGTAACGGGAGCTCACCCCGTTACGCAGCACTAGGGATTCGAACCGCTGAACTGCCGACCTTTCGATCGACAGGCTCAGCGTCTTAGCCACTGAGCCACTGCGTCCCATTGTAAGCACTTCCAAATTTGAATTCCCCCCCCCCCCAGTTATCTTGTTTTGCAACGCTTACCTTCTGAAGGGTGTCTGATTCTGCACTCATCCCTCTGGAAATACATCTCTTCCTCAAGGACTTCCCTCACTCTCCTTGGTGGTTCAACATACACAAACTTCTTCCCTGTTTTAGAAAAGACAATTTCAACAGATGAGCTGAGGAATTTTCAAATTATATGCCGTGTTCTATCAAAACAAAATATTTAATCAAACCATATTCTGATATTTTCTAAATATTCTAAACATCTTATGGTGACAAGACATAATATTAAGGGAAAAGTGACCTGAAGAATAAAACATGCTTTATTTCCTTTTGGAGGAATTTATAAAAGCCAAGTTTGGGCATTAAGAATAAGAAATGGGGGGAAAAAAAACATTAAGTAAAGCTTCTATTGGTATGGCAAAGCAATTATTATCAGACTTAATCTGCGGAAAAAAGGTCTCTGAGACTGACTTTGAGGCTGGGAAAGAAGCAGAAATATCTCAATATATTGTTATCGGTCAACAGACTTTTCAACTCCCTGTTAAAAAACAGAAAGATTAGCTCTTCAGTCTTGCATTATGGGGAAAAACTGGTTCAAACAGATCTCAGAGACCTTTGGTGAATTCACTAATAAATAATTGCTACAGTTGGGATTTATTTGGTTTCTTAGATTCTGTGTATTAATCCCTGAATAATAATCCAAACAATAAATCAGACTAGACCTGGAAGAGACTATGGAGGCCATCTAGTCCAACGCCCTGCTCAAGCAGGAGACCCTATACCCGTGATGGCGAACCTATGGCACGGGTGCCACAGGTGGCACGCGGAGCCATATCTGTGGGCACGTGAGTATTGCCCTATCTCAGCTCCAGCGTGCATGTGCGCACCAGCCAGCTGATTTTTGGAAGTCGGCAAATGGGCCATTTCTGGCCTCTGGAGGGCCTCTGGGGGGGGTGGGGAAGGCTGTTTTCACCCTCCCCAGGCTCCAAGGAAGCCTCTGGAGTCTGGGGAGGGCAAAAAACGGGCCTACCGGGCCCACCATTAACCTTTTTGCCATCATGTGCCAAAAACGGGGGTAGCGCGGGGGGATATCGCATGCACATGTGCGGGGGTGCAGGGTGGCATTGAATTATGGGTGTGGGCACACACGCACACAACCCCCCCATGCTCCCCATGCTTTTGGCACGCGATGGCAAAAAGGTTAGCCATCACTGCCCTATACCATTTCAGACAAGTAGCTGTCCAGTCTCTTCTTAAAAACCTCCAGTGATAAAGCACCCACAACGTCTGAAGTCAAGCTATTCCACTGATTAATTGACAGTTAGGACTTCCTAACAGTTAGGAAGTTTCTCCTCAATTCCAGGTTGCTTCTCTCCTTGATTAGTTTCCATCCATTGTTTCTTATCCTGCCTTCAGATGCTTTGGAAAATAAACTGACCCCCTCTTCTTTGTGGCAGCCCCTCAAATATTGGAATATTGCTATCATGCCACCTCTAATTTTTCTTTTTCTCTAGACTAGCCATACCCAATTCCTGCAACTGTTTTTCATATGATTTAGTCTCCAGGCCTTCGATCGTCTTAGTTGCTCTTCTCTGCACATCCCAGCTAGGGTGACTCATCATGATTGATGCAGAGCAGAATGGAATTGGATATCAGATTGAACAAACTTCTCAAACCAGGTGCTGTACAGAGCATCAAATCCCATTATTGGAGGAGACCAAGTGTGGGATGATATTTATCTCTTTGTAAAAGAGACAGAACAAAATCAGACCTGTTCACTTCAACCGTAGTGAGGACCTGTAGGAGACTGTAAATTCTAATCCCACTTTAGGCATGAAAGCTGGCTTGGGGTTACTTTGTGGACCAGTCCCTGTCAATCAGTCCAACCCACCTCACAGGGTTGTTGTGGTGAAAATAGGAGAAAGGAATATTTTATTTTACTGCAACCAATTTTGGTCACCACACTACAAAAAAGATGTTGAGGTTTTGGAAAAAGTTCAGAGAAGAGCAACTAAGATGATCAAAGGCCTGGAGACTAAAACATATGAAGAAAGGCTGCAAGATTAGGGTTTGGCTAGTCTAAAGAAAAGAAGAATTAGGGGCAACATGATAGCAGTATTCCAGTATTTGAGGGGCTGCCACAAAGAAGAGGGGGGGTCAAATTATTCTACAAAGCAACAGAGGGCAGGAGAAGAAACAATGGTTGGAAACTAACCAAAGAGAGAACCAACCGGGAACGAAGGAGAAACTTCCTAACAGTGAAGACAATTCACCAGCGGAACAGCTTGCCTGCAGAAATCATGGGCGCTCCATCACTGGATATTTTTAAGAAGAGTCTAGGCAGTCACTTATCTGAAATGGTATAGGGTCTGCTTGAGCAGGGGGCTGGATTGGAAGACCTCCAAGGTCCCTTCCAGCGCTATTCTATTCTATTTTATTTTACTATGCAGTCCATTTCCCCTACAAAGTGACCACCACCTTGAGTTATTTATAAAAGTAACTCAAGGTGGTGCAGGTGATTATGGGGGTGACATGGCACACCCATGTAACACCTCCCCTGCGCGAGCTGCAGTGGCTCCCGGTGGTCTTCCGGGTGCGTTTCAAGGTCCTGGTTACCACCTTTAGAGCACTCCATGGCTTAGGACCGGGGTATATACGAGATCGCCTTCTGCTGCCGATAGCCTCCCACCGGCCAATATGCTCTCACAGAGAGGGGCTCCTCAGGGTGCCGTCGGCCAAACAATGTCGATTGGCGACACTCAAGGGGAGAGCCTTCTCTGTGGGGGCACCAGCCCTCTGGAATGAGCTGCCCCCGGAGATTCGTATGATTCCTGACCTGCGTTCCTTTCGCCGCACCCTGAAGACTCTTTTATTCCAACAAGCCGGGCTGGCCTAATAGGAATTTTAAATTGGGTGTTTGTTAGTTTTTAATTTCGTGGGCCAAATTTTATATACTTGTTTTCAAATTGTTCTTAAATTTTGTGGTGTATGTGTGTTTTAATATGGCTGTACACCGCCCTGAGTCCTTTGGGAGAAGGGTGGTATAGAAGTTCAATAAAATCTAAATCTAAAATCTAAAAATAAGGTGTGATTCATGATACAACGTTAACCTAACATCATATATAGTTCTTGGCTGATGTCAAAAAGCTTGGAAGAATAGATCTTAATATTGGGAAATCCGAGGGCTATGGATTTGGTTGGGAAGTTGAAAAAAAACAACAACACATCCAGGTGTAAGTGAATGGGGCAAACTGCTTCTACGCTGTTGCCAAGACAACGACAGGGGCATGCCCATGATGTCACCACCAGTCCCCTTTTAAAGAAGCAAAGGAGGGAATTCTCCAATCACCGGCCACAGCCCTGCTGGGTGCAAGGGTGCAACTGATCTATAGCAGGATGGGATGTAGGTCCCACCCCACCCCACCCCACCACAGACTGCATCTATCCAGGGGTGAAATCCAGCAGGTTCTGACAGGTTCTGGAGAACCGGTAGCGGAAATTTTGAGCACTTCGGACAACCGGCAAATACCACCTCTGGCTGGCCCCAGAATGGGGTGGGAATGGAAATTTTGCAATATCCTCCCCCCAGGAGTGGGGAGGGAATGGGGATTTTGCAGTATCCTTCCCCTGCCACGCCCACCAAGCTACACCACCCCCACCAAGCCACCCCCCCCACAGAACCGGTAGTAAAAAAAATTGGATTTCACCACTGCATCTATCCCTTAATTCTGCAAACCGATCTGGCTATTATCTATCCAACAGGGGTTTCCCAGAGCCCATCATCCTCAGCCCACAGAGAAGTCTTTCCCTTCATTTGGTTTCCAACCCAGCCTGGGTTACCTATTCACTTCCAATTGCTGGAGCTGAAGCCCTACCTCCCCACGCCCCCCCCCCCCCCCCCCCCCAAAAAAAACCTGGAGAATTTCCCCACTTCCGTGGATCAAATCAGTCTGGAAGAGAAAGTCTCGCCTCCTCCAGGCGTGGCGAGGCTCTCCGGCTGCAACCTGAGCGACCCTCCACAGCCAAGCCGGGCAGGGGGAAGCTTCCACCCCCGCCGGCCCACCACTCACAGGGTTGCCCCCCATCGTTGCTCTCGCCGTAGATCCGGTTCCCGGAGTCCCCCGCTTTGGTCTCCGGCGGTTCCCCGGTCGACGCTCGCATGTCTCGTCCTCGGCGGCTGCTCCGGCTTGCTCCTGCCAGCCGCGCCCAGGCGAGCGGCACGCGCAGGCTGGTTGCCATAGGAGCCCCAAGGTTGCTGCTGCTGCTGCTGCTGCTGAAGGGGGAGAGGAGGAGGAGGAGGAGGAGGAGGAGGAAGCTGGTGGGTTTTGCCCGCACACCCGGCAGAGCGGTGGCCCCAGCGGGGCGGAGCTAAGAGGGAAGCGCCCTTGTCCCGGGTCACAGGATAACTGAGGGCAGCCGCCTCGAGCGGGGGCGATCGCAGGTTGTCTTGGCAACGCCCGAAGCCCACCTGTGTGGCTGACCCAAGGTCTTCCCCAAGCTGGCGCCCTCTAAGTCTCCGGGTTATCACCAGCCTCTATCTCCACCCAGTAGCTCCTGGCAGGCCAGAGCGGCCAAACTGGCTGAAAGATTATAGATAGATTAGGGTAGTGTTAGATAGATGAGATAGAAGAGAGGGGGAGAGGGAGGGAGAGGAGAGAGAGAGATGATAGGGAGATGATAGATACCTATAGAGATAGATGGATGGATGGATGATAGATGGATGATAAGATGGATGGATGGATGGATGATAGGTGGATGATAGATAGATACATATAGATACATATATAGATATTTGTTTATGTAAGTTTTCACGGGTATGTATGTGTGTATAGTTAATATTTCGGGTTTCTTCCCGTGTAATTGTGGATATATCCCTAAAAGGGATATAATATAATATAATATAATATATAATATAATATATATAATATAATATATATAATATAATATATCCCTAAAAGGGATATATAAGGGATATATATCCCTTTTAGGGATATATCCACAATTACACGGGAAGAAACCCGAAATATTAACTATACACATAGATAGATAGATAGATAGATAGATAGATAGATAGATAGATAGATAGATAGATAGATGGATGATAGGTAGATGATAGATACATATAAATAGATAGATAGATAGATAGATAGATAGATAGATAGTAGGTAGATGATAGATAGATAGATAGATAGATAGATAGATAGATAGATAGATAGATAGATGATAGGTAGATGATAGGTAGATAGATAGATAGATAGATAGATAGATAGATAGATAGATAGATAGATAGATAGATAGATAGTAGGTAGGTAGATGATAGATAGATAGATAGATAGATAGATAGATAGATAGATAGATAGATAGATAGATAGATGATAGGTAGATGATAGGTAGATGATAGATACATATAGATATAAATAGATGGATGGATGGATAGATAGATAGATAGATAGTAAGTAGGTAGATGATAGATAGATAGATAGATAGATAGATAGATAGATAGATAGATAGATAGATAGTAGGTAGGTAGATGATAGATAGATAGATAGATAGATAGATAGATAGATAGATAGATGATAGGTAGATGATAGATACATATAGATATAAATAGATGGATAGATAGATGGATAGATAGATAGATAGATAGATAGATAGATAGATAGATGGATGATAGGTAGATGATAGATACATATAGATATAAATAGATGGATAGATAGATAGATAGTAGGTAGGTAGATGATAGATAGATAGATAGTAGGTAGGTAGGTAGATGATAGATAGATAGATAGATAGATAGATAGATAGATAGATAGATAGATAGATAGATAGGTAGATAGATAGATATAGATAGTAGGTAGGTAGATGGTACATAGATAGATAGATAGATAGATAGATAGATAGATAGATAGATAGATAGATGATAGGTAGTGATTATAGATAGTGATAAGTGTCCAGAGTTAATTTGTTGTAGAGTCAACTACCAAACTCCCTTGATAATTTTCTGGGCACATTAGAAATAATGTAAATAAATACATAATTCTGCTCATAAATTCAGAAATCCTTATCTATACAATAATGAAACAAAGTGCTGTTTGTTTTGTATTCCAATATGATTCTATACACATTTATCCAAAATTTCTCTTGCTAAGTGAGACTGTTATTAAGTGAATTTTGTCCCATTTTAGAGCCTTTCTTGCCATGAATGTTAAGTTAATCGCTGCAGTTAGTTTACACGTTCGTAAAGTCAGTCTGGCTTTCCCGTTGACTTCGCTTGTCAGAAGATCGCAAAAAGTGGTCACATGACCCTAGGACTCGGCAAATTCATAAATATGAGTGTCAGTTGCCAAGCATCTGAAGTTGGAACAGGGTCATCTTTAGCCTGCAGGTGGTTTTAAAGTTAATGGTTGGAGGAGCCTATTGCCAGGTTGTGTGTTCATCACTAAGATCTCTTCCATCAAGCAACTTGGTGGGGTACCCAGAAAGTGTGTTTGGAGGTCTTGAAGCCACATCTGCCTGAAGTTTATTTTAGGCGACATTAAAATAGTGTGCAGACATAAACATTTTGTTCTGCCAGGCAGTGACAAAGGGAGTATCACCTGCAGAATATGGATGAGAATATTAGGGAGCTAACTGTGCTTGAAGGAAAAGCATTTGGTCACAGGCCAATGAAGTAAAAAGTATTTTGGGAAGAATGAGCCAATGAGATAGAAAACAAGCTATATTTCCAATCCAGACAATGTGCTCTGGAAGTCAGCCAGGAAGTGCCATCAAAAGAAGAATCATATTTGTTTTGCTTGATTCTTCTTAGATAGGGAAATCTAAGTAAAGATCTCCCTATCTAAGATAATAAATTGATTATATTTAAAATATAAGATCTAGGTTACTGCTTTGCTGTGTTCCTTACAGCACCATCCTCTGGCTGTCCCTATTTAAATCTGAATGAAACCCTGAAATCACAAATTTGGCTCTTCCCACAGAGATTGGGTCAAAGTGTTGAGTGAATCACAGATATATTTTAAAGAGGTATTTTATGGAGCCGAGTGATTGTCCAGAGCTACTAGCAGTTTTGTTTTTTGAGATCTGACGTGTTGATTTGATTTTAAACTTGATGTAAGCTCAGAATAATTATGAATTGGGTATATATATATCAACAGGAGAAATAAACCAATAAAAAAAATTTAAGAGTTACATAAATGTTGAATGATGTAATTTATGTCAATTTGCATAATGAGATCATTATAATCATCATCATGATGAGATCATTATTCAAATAACATATTTCCAATAACAGGAGTGCTCATTAAACTACTTTCACTCCTCCCAGTTCCCACCTGCTTCATCTCCATTAATTCCCCCATCATCTTTGAAAGTGAGCTGCAATTCAAAAAGTTGCCAATAAAGAAGAATATTTGGAGCTCAGGGTTGAGGTCCTTGGTTCTCTCCGAGCTTGCTTGTTTTCTTGAAGGTGTTTCATTAACCAAACCAGGTAACATCATCAATGCTCAGGGTGCCCAAGGAGCTGCTGATACACCTCTACAGAGGAATTGTACAATTCTACAGAGTCTGTCATCTGCACCTCTATAACTGTCTAGTTTGACACTGCAACCAATCAAGATACACAACGGATAATTAGAACTGCTGAAAAAAAATAATTGCTACCAACCTGCCTTCCATTGAAGACCTGTATATTATATGAGCCAGAAAGAGGGCTGTGAAAATATCTACAGACCCCTCGCATCCCGGACATAAACAGTTTCAACTTCTACTCTCAAAACGATGTTATAGGTAGGGCACTGCACGTCAGAAATAGACACAAGGAGAGTTTCTCCCCCCCCCCCATGCCATCACTGCTAAACAACGAATTCCCACAACACTATCAAACTATCTAGAAAGGCAGTATTACCATCATTATTCTCATCTTCCCTATTTCCTAATCTTCTTATAACTTTGTTGCTTGTATTTTACGATTTATCGTTTACTTAGTATCCTAGTATGATTTAGGTTGATTGCTTATTTAGTATCCATGACTAAGTGTTGTATCTAATGTTTTATGATGAATGTATTTTTACAATGACTATGATCATGATCTATCACTATTGTTGTATGTACACTGAGAGCTTATGCACCGGAGACAAATCCCTTGTGTGTCTAATCACATTTGGCCAGTAAAGAATTCTAATTCTAATGATGTTCATCATTTAGCACTGATGATGGTTAATGAAACATCTTCCAGAAAACAAGCAAGCTCAGAGAGAACCAAGGAGCTCTCAATTCAAAAAGGTTTATGCCTTTTAATGGAAGTTTTTAGTTGAAAAAGACACTGCTGACCAAACCATAATAAAGTTCTAGTTTTATCAATTACAGCGAGCAAAATTTAACAGCTTTTAGCAACAGCAAATCTCTGCTAGTTCATTTAAATATATTACACAGCTTTTTGAATCTATGCTATAGACTTACAATTATTTTAAACTTCCTTCATGTGTTCATCACTTGCAATCACAGAATTCTGGGAGTCATTGTATAACTAGCAGTTTTTTTATGTAGAAATAGCTTTCTGACAGAACAATTAACAATTTTCTTTGGGAAGAGTTAAGTTACCTCAATGGGTTTTGTACTGGTTTAAATTTGTAGTGTAATCGTAACTAGTGGTCTGATGACCCGCTTAATTTGATACACAGATATAAAATGTGGTAAGAATGTCCAAGTTAGAAACACATATTTACAACTTCAAATATTAAGCTGCAGTGCCTTAAGGTAAGTGATTGCTTCATAATTTAAGCCTCCACTATTAGCAGTATTTTCTAATCTTTAAAAATTGATATTTTACCAATTCTGGCATACAGTACTTGGAAATCCAAGGCATTAAATCAGGGTGATGTATTGGCATTCAGTTCTAATAAACTACAGATTATGTTACAATATCTTCTTATATCTAATCACAGTTAAAGAGTTCCTCTAATGCCAATAAAACCTGCATGATTGTAACAGAACTGGGACTTCATACTGCAATATCAGTAGGCAACGAACTGTTTGTTCACGAAGGTTTGTTGCATCCATCAAATCACTTATTCAGAAATAACTTTAATGAATCAAAACAACTAATTTTACAGCGAAAGTACATCATGCTACAGCAAGCCACACAAATCCCACATTTACCGGGATTTTATTTTTTAGGTGAGGGCTGGTTCACACAAGGCATTCAAAGTAGCAGACGGCGTGCACAGGAGAAATTTGAACTGCAGCAAAAGAAACTCATCATTTTTAGCAGAAAGCTCAATTGTAATTCCCACACTCAGCACATTTTCCACTCTTCATTTCACAAACACAAATGCTGCTTCACATTCTGTACATAACCACAAACATGCAGATAAAATCTCATGAAAGAGTGATGTAATTTTTATCAGGTACAATGCAGAGAAATTGAAAATGAGTACTTTTTTTTCAACCTCAAGTGTATCAATGATGTGAACCAGCCCTAACTGTCTTCAGAGCTGGTGAACCAAATGCATAATGGTTTTTCATGCATCTGTGAATAAATTTCAGAGATCATTTCTGAATGACAACCCAAAGTTTTCCAAAAATTCAAAACATAATTTAAGAAGGCAAGCAGATGTACAATAAGGTACTTCCAAGCAATCTTTGGACCAGTCAGCTGTAGGGTTTTCTGCTGCTGAAAATAACTTTGAAATATTACTACCAAGAGTTTGTGAAACGCAGCGATACTGAAGGAACACCATTTTAAAAGCTGAACAATTAAATGTGATTTATCAAAGACCTATAACAACTTTCACCAAACTGTTGACTTCTGAATGTGCTGCAATTGCAATGACCATTGGACATATTAATTGGCAATTCTGATAATGAAGTTCTAAAATAATTAAAAACTCAGTTAACTTGAACTCAGAAACCTGATCAATAAAAATGTAAACAAAACACTTCTACGCATAGGCAACCATACTGTCACTTTCAAAAGCAAAACCTGAGAACATAAAATGTTAATGTGTGGCAACTAAGGAATTAGATACAGGTATATCTTATACAGATACTGAAGTAGATTTTGGAAATCTTAATCCCATCACATTATTAACCAGGTAGCTCTATTTTTTTGGCAGCTGCTATCTTTGATATGTGTGCGAATACCCCAGGTTTTGGCAATAGTTTAAATTCCATGCTCTTCTCTGTTGAAAATTATCAGTCACCAGGTAAGTCTCGTTAAAACTTCACACACCTTAAAAAGGAGGTGCCAATGATTTGAACAGTGTTGCTCCTCTCCAAGCTGAATATTTACATGTTACTTTGTGGCTCGGTGAATGATTTCCATTTACAATGGCTGGGGAAAGCAGCAAAATAACCATGTTTCTTCAAGTTAAAGTGAAAACATTCCACAAGGGTAGCATAGCTTATTCTTATCCCAAATGGTGCTTTATTCCAAAAGGCAATTGGACTTTCCTGGTTTTATTTTTCTTTTAAAAATGTTTCCCTTCTCCATTCAAGAAGTTCAGAACTGAAGAATCTTGTTGGATGAGAAGCAAAACATTTTCAGAAGAGTGGGGAAGATCAAGAAAGTCCAGTTGTCTTTTGGGGGGGAAAAAACACCTCTGGGACAATCATGACCTGGATGATTGAGAATAACAGAGTTGGAAAAGAACCTAGAAGTCTTCTAGTCCAACCCCCTGCTTAGGCAGGAAACCCTACACCACTTCAGACAAGTGGTTCTCCCATAGACATATAACTTATCTTATAAAAATAATGTCAGTGTTACTCAACGGAGCCTCATTTTAGCCCCTGCTAAGTTATGACGCAAAGAGCTGGGAATGCAATGACAAAATAGATTTCTTTAAAGCGCATGGGCCGTGTGGGCTAGGTATACAATTCCTAAGAATCTGTGATGGAGTTTGTGCAGTGTTCGACGATTTCAAACAGATAGTGGTATTTATCAGTCCTGCGAGCGATATCGTAAGCCGTCTCTTCCAAGTTGTTTTTGAGATTTGGCTTTAAGTATCGATTCATGAGTAACAGTTCCAGGGTTTCCTTGCTCTCTCGGTTTCCAGCTGCCAAGTGCAGAGGCGTAAGCAACCCGTTGGTCTGAGCGTTGACATTTGCCCCATGCTGGAGCAAGAAGGAGGCAATTTTGGTGTTGTTCCATTTGCACGCGCTGTGCAGAGGTGTCCAGCTATCCACGGTCAGTGCATGGATATCTGCCCCATGAGCGATCAGCTCACGCACCACTTCCATGTGTCCATTGTAGGCAGCGCGGTGAAGAGGAGTGTACTGATCTTCATCCTGGACATTGATAGACACGAGGTTTTGAGACAAGAGCCTCTGCACCGTGCTAAGCTGTGGGAAGGGAGACAAAGAGGTTAGTGTTATTTCACTAACTCAGGGGTCTGCAATCTTAAACACTCAAAGAGCCATTTGGACCCGTTTCCCACTGAAAAGAAAACACCGGGAGCCACAAAACCCTTCCCGTGCCTGACTATTTCTTGAGCGGCCACAAAACTAGCATATGTAGTTGAATTAAACATTCTGTTTTCTTCTGAAACTTTTCTTTCCTTGGATTTATCCATGGTCGGCCTACAGGGGATTGAAAAGCTCAATAAATCGTGTGCTGGCGGGTGTCGCACATTGGTGGTTGTGATGCATATTTTGAGTGACAGGGAGCTGCAGCAGAGGGGTGAAAGAGCCACATGCGGCTCCAGAGCTGCAGGTTGCTGACCCCTGCCCTAACTAGACAAGTTCCTATAAGATTGACTTCCACACTGTGAATGAAGGCCACACTTTCACTAAAATGCATTGACTCCAAAGAACAAGCAATGACTGGTGATATAGTATCTCCAGAGTTGAAGAGGACATCATTTCTAGCTCTTTCACCCAGGGTGGATTTGATTTAAATCATAATTTTTAAAGAGCAACTATCGTCTTTGTCCCATCACTTTAATGGGATGGCTGGTGATGTGGCAGTGACACAACAAGGTGAGGGATGTGGTGGGCAGCAGGTGAACGGATGCCTGCTAACAGGTGCTGCCATGATGGATCCGAAATGACAGGTGCTCTTTAAACGTAAGGATTCGTTCTTCCTGGTGGTTAGAATCTTTATTATTTGCAGACAAAAGGAAGGTTTCCTATTTAGCTTGCAGAGCTGGGATTCATTGAATGAATTTGACCAAAAATGTAAATATTGCAGAATATACAGCCTCATGCTACATAACTAAGCTCCATTTCATTCTGAATGCTGAAATTATTAATGTATCCTAAACAGAAAACTATTTTTAGTTAGCTTTTTACTCCAAAAGCATTTTATTAAAATAAATTTGATTAAAAAAAATTCGATTTAAATAAAAAAATCTGATTGTTTTGATTTTTTTAAAAAATCATTGATTTTTATTCATCCTGCTTTTCCCACTTATTTTAGAGAAACTCGTGCTATTAAAACCCATCCTTTCTGCAAAGATGATCTGGGGAACCCAGAATCTAGAGGACTTCATAGACTATTGAGTTTAGTTCTGAAAGAACTGGGGATCACTTGCTCAACTAAACGTTGATGAAACACTGAGCAAGGTTTTATTTTTTCCTTTTAACAATCAGTTTTATTACGTTTCCAGGAAGAAAGCAAACTCTTTCACACTGACTCCAAGGAAAATACAATCCTACCATGTTTTCCCAAAAAGAAGACCTCCCTGGATAATAAACCCAATCGGGCTTTTGAGCGAATGTGCTAAAATAAGCCCTCCCCGAAAATATTTAAATGCATGTGCATCCGGTCCCTGCCATTTCCTCTGGTTAGGGTTAGGGAGACAGAGCTGGAAATCAGGTAAGATGGCAAGAGGAGCCCTGTCTTGCTTCATGCGCCCCAAAATAATAAGACCTCCCCGAAAATAAGGCCAAGCGCTCATTTCGGGGCGCAAAAAATATAAGACAGGGTCTTATTTTCAGGGAAACACAGTATCCATTTGCTCCCATTCATTTGGAGGTATCAATGCCCCAATTGTCTGTAATCCCATTCCTACAGATCAATCTACTTGACAAAACAGCACTGCCATATGTTCACAAGTCTAAAAACAATCCAGACTAGCTTTGTGCATGCAACTGTCATTGCCTCATTTTATATTCGTAATATTGAAGCCTATTGCACCAATTGCAATTGCTTTTATTACCCAAAGGCATCGTAATCATTTCTGACTTGTCTTGAATTCTATAGTGCAGCCAACTATTTTTCCACTGTTCCTTCTAAACCCTTATGACGGACTGTCATAAATATAAGTCAATTGCCAAGCATCTGAATTTTGATGTGACCATGGGGATGCTGCAACATGGTTGTGAGGGTGAAAAACGGTCATAACTCACTTTTTCAGTGCCGTTGTAACTTTGAACGGTGACTAAACAAACTGCTGTAAATTGAGGACTACCTGTAAACCATTGATAGATGGTTTGCACTCACCTCTCTCAAATGAAGGAGACCTCAGCATCTGTGACTATAGCATAAACCAACCTTACGTTATTTGAAAGCCCCATTATGTCAAACTTAAGAGTCTCTCTAGAAAATAATAGCCAAAACCAATTTATTACGTAGAGTTTTCTTTCATATGGGAGGGGTGGGCTGCTGGGGGTTCGCAGGGGTTTGGGAAAAACTCTAGCTAAGATTCTGTGCAGTTCGGAGAATCGCCAAATCCCATTCCTGGCCTGCCCTGCCCAGCCCCTCCAAGGAGTCCCCACACAGCCTGTTTTGGATGCAGGTTAAGTGCAGGGCGCGTGCGGAGGCTCGGGAAGGCAAAAACCGGGCCTACCGGAAGTTCGGGAAAGGCTGGAAACCGGCTTGTTTCTGGCCTCCAGAGGAACCTGGGGAGGCCATTTTCGCCCTCCTGGAGGCTCAAAGAAAGCCTCCAGGCCCAGGGAGGGCAAAAATGCCCCCCCCTCCCCTGTAGTGCAAGAGGCCAACTAGGCTATGCCCACCATGGCCACGCCCACTCAGCAACCGGGCAGAGAACCCCTTGCTAAAATTTTTGAAGCCCACCCCTGTATATATTGTATTACATTTGGCTTACCCTATTTTTTTCAGCTGCCCAAAGCAGAAGCTTATCTGGGGTGTTGGCCAACTTTTTCTCTTGAGCCTGGTACCATTCCTCTGTTTTTTCTTCCTGGTCTTCCTCATCAGAATCTCCAGACCAAAGACTCTGAGTTCCTCTAGGGATGAGATGCCGGTGGGTTTCCAGGAGCTCAAGCTGGTTAAAGCTGTCAGCAAAGTCTTTTCCCTCCTCATCTGTGTTATTGTTGTCGGCTGACGTTATGCTTTCGTTCATTTTGCAAGCTTCAATTTGCCCGTCCCTAAAGAGCAGAAGAGTTCCGCTTCTGTTTTCCTAACTCATATCCCCAATGCCTTGCCAACCGAGTTTGGTAACGAAAGCTACTGGCAGCAACATCATCACCATCTTTAAAAAGAGAAAAGAAAAAGGAAGAAATGGAATATTATGATTGGGGGAAAAGAAGATAAGAAGACATTTGCTGCACGTTGAACCAGCATCTCAGAAGGGTCAATTTAAAAAGCTATCTTATTGCTTCCTTGCTATCAGACAAGAAACATGAATTAAGAATTCTTTATTGGCCAAGTGTGATTGGACACACAAGGAATTTGTCTTTGGTGCATATGCTCTCAATGTACATAAGGAGAATAAAATATATTCGTCAAGAATAAAAAGATACAACACTTAATGATAGTCATAGGTACAAATAAGCAATCAAATCGTATTAGGAAACAGTCAGTATAAATCTTAAGTATTCCAGCAACAAGGTTACAGTCATACAGTCATAAGTGGAAGGAGATGGGTGGTGGGAACAATGAGAAGATTAATAGTAGTGCAGACTTAGTAAATAGCTAGACAGTGTTGAGGGAATTATTTGTTTAGTAGAGTGATGGTGTTCAGGAAAAAACTGTTCTTGTGTCTAGTTGTTCTGGTGTGCAGTGCTCTATAGCGTCGTTTTGAGGTTGCAGAACCAAACCAGACAGTTATAGAGGTGCAGATGACAGACTCAATAATTCCTCTGTAGAACTGGATCAGCAGCTCCTTGGGTTGTCCATGAAGGACTTCTTCTTACAGTCTCTTCTGTAACCCTCCAAAATAATTTTGGAATTTAAAAAAAAAAAACACACCAATTCTTGTTTCTTTCTATTTCTAGAGCAGAGCCAGCATTCAAAAGATTGCATCACTTTAATCTTCTCGATTCCACATCACAAAATGAAGTTCTTCATAATGCTCTAGAATAATCAGACATTTCCAACCTGTATCCTACAGCCTGGACTGGTACTTTGCAGCCCCACAAGATTGTAAATTTTTAACATTATGTGTTTTATATACATTAACTACTGTATTTTTCAGACTGGAAGACGCACCGGAGTATAAGATGCACCACGATTTCGAAGAAGAAAACAGGAAAAAAAAAATAGTTTTTGCCTTCCTTGGCCCCCAGGAGCACACTGCAGGCCTCCCAAACCTTCTGCGCGTCCCATTTTTTTGAAAACCGGGCCTGTTTTTGGCCTCCCAAAGCTCCCACGCATCCTGTTTTTGCCCTCCCCAGCCCCAAGGAGCACTCTGCAGGCCTCCCAAACCCTCTGCCCATCCCATTTTTGCGAAAAAACGGTGGGGTTTCGGGAGGCCAAAAATGGCTGTATTTGGTGTATAAGACGCACCAACATTTCCACCCTCTTTTAGGGGGGGACAGTGTATCTTATACTCTGAAAAGTACGCTATATTATATATTTTATATCCGGCCCAAGACAATTCCTCCTCACTCAATGCTGTCCAGGCAAGGCAAAAGGTTGCATACCCATGATAAGAAACGGCGAAGTTTCCTTCGTATAACGTTTTATTTATTTATGTAATCTAGGCAGTCACCCGTTTTATGACTTGCAAGATTAAAACAAAACCGTGCTAAACAAACCGCCATTGACCATGCTCACCATCACCGATAGCAGCAGAATTCATCAAATAACCAGAGCGACAGAAGGATGAGCCCCGCCCGGATGCTACAAAAACCTTTCTGCAGAAACAGAGAAAGCAAAACCCGAACTTTCTTCTCTCCCCCTTCTCTCAGTTGACTATTAAGGAATGGAAGTGGTCTTTTTCTTTACGATACAATGAGATTTGGATGGAGGAGGCAAGAGCTTTCATTGTTGTTATTTTTTTACAAACCAGCAAACCAATACATTCCATTTCAGTTTGCAGGGAACGACAGACATGAGAACTGTCAAATAAGGGGATTAGGTATTAAGCCTCGTCTGATAAGAGACAGTAACAGCAACAGAGTTGGAAGGGACCTTGGAGGCCATCTAGTCCAACCCCCTGCTCACGCAGGAGACCTGTACTAGGGATTCGAACTGGCGAACTGCCAACCTTTCTGATCGACAAGCTCAGGGTCTTAGCCACTGAGCTACAGCAGAGCTCAAAGGAGGAAGGAGGGTGGAGAAAGCATCTCAGAAGCATCTTCTCTAATTCCCTGGAAAATAAAACGAGAGGAGACCCAAAGGTGCTTTTTTTTCAAAAGGCAATTGGACTTTTGCTTTTTTCTTGAAGACGTTTTGAGAGAAAAAGAAGCTTTTTCCATTCCGACTGAATGCTGGGAATGGAAGGATTGATATTCCTTGCAGGCCTTCCGTTCCCCAGCATTCAGTCAGAATGGAGGTTGCTTCTTGGATGAGAAGCAAAACGTCTTCAAGTAAAAACCAAGAAAGTCGAGTTACCTTTTGAAAAAAGCACCTTGGTCTGGATAACTGAGAATCTCCCTAAACGTAAACTTGCAACTCCCAGACTTGCAAGATGCTGTTACTGTACGCCTACAATAACGGTGGCGCTAGTGCTCATGGTTTTGGTTTTCTGCCTGGACTACCTCAAAGAGCTGGCAGTCCTACTCAAATGAGCAAGGCTAAAAACACATGCAGATGAAGGCTACAGACCTAATGGGGTGTTTTGTTTTGTTTATTATCTGGGAAGGGGTCACGAATGACACGCAAGGCAGGCTCCACTGAAGAATCACAATTAGCTCCTTCACACAAAAGGGTCAGAATAACAAAATACCAGAGTTGGATGGGACCTTGGAGGTCAATAGAATAGAAGAGAGAATACAGTAGAATAGAGAAAACAGAAGAGAGAAGATTGAGTTGGAAGGGACTTTGGAGATCAATAGAATAGAATAGATAATAGAGAAGAAGAGAAGAGAAGAGACCTTGGAGGTCTTCAAGTCCAACACCCTGCTCAAGCAGGAAACCCTACACCACTTCAGACAAATGGTTATCCAACATCATCTTAAAAACTTCCAGTGTTGGAGCATTCACAACTTCTGGAGGCAAATTGTTCCACTTATTGTTCTGTCAGGAAATTTCTCCTTAGTTCTGGATTGCTTCTCTCCTTGATTAGTTTCCACCCATTGCTTCTTGTCCTACCCTCAGGTGCTTTGGAGAATAGGTTGGCTCCCTCTTCTTTGTGGCAGCCCCTGAGATATTGGAACACTGCTATCATGTCTCCCCTGGTCCTTCTTTTCATCAAACTAGACATACCCAGTTCCAGCAACTGTTTTTCATGTTTTAGCCTCCAGTCCCCTAATCATCTTTGTTGCTCTTCTCTGCACTCTTTCTAGAGTCTCCACATGTTTTACATCGTGGCAACCTCTATTCCAACCCCCTGCTCCAGCGAGCCCCCTAATGGCATTCCAGACAAACGGTTGTCCATAAATTTCTGAATAGAATAGAATAGAATAGAATATAGAATAGAATAGAATAGAATAGAATAGAATAGAATAGAATAGAATGCAGAAAAATGCAAGATAGGCTAGGCTAGGCTAGCATAGCATAGCACAGAAGAATAGAATGGAATGGAATGGAATGGAATGGAATCGAATGGAATAGGAATAGGAATAGGAATAGGAATAGGAATAGCATAGCATAGCGGAACGGAACGGAACGGAACGGAACGGAACGGAACGGAACGGAACGGAACAGAACAGAACAGAATAGAATAAATAGAATAGTAGAATAGAATAGAATAGAATAGAATAGAATAGAATAGAATAGAATAGAATAGAATAGAATAGGTTTATTGGCCAAGTGTGATTGGACACACAAAGAATTTGTCTTAGGTGTATATGCTCCCAGTGTACATAAGGAGAATAAAATACATTCATCAAGAATAAAAAGATACAACACTTAGTGATAGTCAAGGTTACTAAATAAGCTGTCAAATCTTATTAGGGAACAAACAAAAACAATATAAATTGAAAGATACAAGGAACCTGGTTATAGTAATGAGTGGGAAGAGATAAGATACAAGTAAGGAAGAGAAGAAGAATAGTAATGCAGTCTTAGTAAATTAAAAACCCAGCCTCACAAACCCTGGAGGGGCAGGATTCAAACCACCCGATAATACCCCAAGTAGCCAGCCAGCCAGCCCTACCTTCGAAGGCGGCTCAATGAAGCCTTACGGGCATCTCAAGAAGCAGAGACTAGACACCTACCGACAAATGAACGCCTAACACGGAGTGGTGGGATATAATATAAATATATTATAATATAATATAATCCTCGGCGTAGACGCTTCGACACCTCCCTGGCTCCAGCACAAGACGCGTGTAGAGAGCGAGCAAGAGACCCAAAGCCGTCCTCCGCGTTGCAGGGAGCCGAAGCCTCAACTCCTCCACCGCCCCGACAGGCCTCGCGTCCCCCTCCCGTCTAGGACACTTCCTCCCTTCCTTGGGCGGAGGGGGCGGGAGGGAGAGGGGAGGAAGGCCGCCTCTCACCGGAAGCGGCTACGGCTGCGGCTGCGCAAAGAGAGTCTATTGCGGGAGGGAGAGGGGGTGTGTGTTAGGCTCGTGTGGGAGGGAGGTGGGAAAGAAAGGCGGGAGTTGCGTAGTTCTCGCGAGAAGTGGCTGCCGGCGCTCGTGGGAGAGGGCCGGATAGTATGGAAAAGGGAAAGTTGGGTGAGCTGAGAGGCGGGGGTGGTGTTGTTGGTGGGGGGGGAGGGGGGGGGGGGGGCAGTTGGTGGGGGGGGGGGGCGGGGATGAGGAGTGAGGGCGGCCTCCTCGCTCAGCCTTTGCCGGGTAGGCGAGATGAAACGAGCCCGGTGATCAAGAACAGCCGGCATCCCACGGAAGAGCGCAGCGACACTGAGGCTGCCTGCAGTGTCTCTGCAGGAGTTGCCGTTCTGCTTTAATTCGCACGAGGCTTGGTGCTGCGGGTGGGTGGGTGGCAATAGAGGCGTTGTTGTTCCAACCCAGGGTGCCAGGAGGAGATGCCTCTCCTCCCAAAGAGGGGATGATTTTCATCATGCCTCTGGGCTGGGGTGCTTGGGTTGGACCCCAATCCTTTGGGTGGGGTTGCCCAGCATGAGAAAGCCAAGCAGGGTTTTAACTCAAGCCCAGAATCAGAATGCAGCTGGAAGGGACCTTGGAGGTCATCTAGTCCAGCCCCCTGCTCAGGCAGGAGAGCCTCTTTATTTTATTTTATTTTATTTTATTGCACTTTATATGCCGCCCTTCTCCCGAAGGACTCAGGGCGGCTTACAAGATAAAAATTCAACAATATGAATTGAATATAATTAAAATCCAATTAAAATTAATTTATACCAGTGATGGCTAACATTTTCTGGACTGAGTGTTCAAAGCGCACCCGAACCCCCAAAATGCAATGTGCACATGTGCCCCGCCCCCAGGCATGTGCCCCCTGCGCATGTGCGTGCAACCCCCCATTGCGCCCCACCACCGCGCATGCACTCGTGGCCTGCACATGCCCCGTCCCGTGCATGCACACGTCCTCGCATGTGCCCCACCCCCGTGCATGTGTGCACAGCCCCCACATGCACCCCACTCCCTGCGCATGCACATGTGGCCCCCTGCACATTCCCTGGCCCACCATGCATGTACATGTGGGCCCCGGCACGCACCCCCCCGGGCATGTGTGCGTGGCCCCCATATGCACCCTACGCCCTGCGCATGCATGCCTGGCCCCCCACATACACCCCTTGTGCATGTATGTGCACCCCCACGTCCCTGTGCATGCACAGCAGAGACCCGAAGGCCAGCTGGCCAGCGGGAGGCTTGTGAACATGCGCAATGGAGCTGAACTGGGGCGATGGCTCGCGTGCCATCAGAGAGGGCCCTGCGTGCCACCTCTGGGACACATACTATAGGTCAGTGATGGCTAGCTAACCTTTTTGCCATCGCGTGCCAAAAGTGGGGGGACCTTGGGGTGGGGGCTTGCACGTGCCCCCACCCATAATTCAATGCGCCCCACGCATGCACGCACAACCCCCCCATGCTTTTGGCACGTGATAGCACAGTGGGCCCGGTAGGCCTGTTTTTCACCCTCCCCAGGCTCCAGAGGCTTTCTTGGAGCCTGGGGAGGGAGAAAACTGCCTCCCCCCCACCGAAGGCCCTCCGGAGGCTGGAAATAACTTGTTTCCCGACTTCCGGTGGGCCTGGAAGGCCCGAAAATCAGCTGGCCAGCGCATACATGTGCGTTGGAGCTGAGCTAGGGCAATGCTCGCATGCCCACATATATGGCTCCGCGTGCCACCTGTGGCACGCATGCCATAGGTTCGCCATCATGGCTATAGGTTCACCATCACGGTGCTATACCATTTCAGAAAAGTGACTGTTGCATGCTGTAGCATGTTGGGGGAATGCTGTGTTTCCCACCGGCCTGGTTTGAAGCCAGTGCATTATATGACACGGTGTTATAGGAATGATAGAAACAAGGTTTATTTAACAGAATAACACAGTTGGAAGGGACCTTGGAGGTCTTCTAGTCTAACCTTTTTTCAATACCAATGCATTTCAGACAAATGGTTGTCCAATCTCTTCTTAAAAACTTACAGTGTTGTCTAATTGGGAAGTTATTTATTCTCACAGGTTTTGATTTCCTTTCCATTTTAATTGTGGGTGTGGCTGTGGAAACTGTATAATTACCACTTTTACAGAAATAATACAAACCCCTCTTGGTGGTTACATAGAGACCAGTCATGAGTGCCAGTTAACTAAAATAATTCATTGCTTGGATCATTCATTTATCATGCCAAAACCTCAACACAGTGTCTGCTTCGGAAGGGGTGGACCTCCATATAATTTGCTGTTTCCTTATTCTATCCAAAGAGGTGTTCACTTTTTATTTTTATTTATTTTAGTGATGCCTTTGAGTCACTGAAGACTGCCTGCACTGGTCCTTTCAGTTTATTTGGCAAGGTTTTGAAAGAAGCTTGCCATTGCCTGCTTCCCTGGGCTGAAGAGAGTTGCTGGTCCAAAATCACCCAGATAGCTTTGCGCTTAAAATGAGACTAGAACTTGTGTTCTTCCAGCTTTTAATTTGGTATCTTAACCACACCACCAAATTGGGCCTCAGATTTTGGCTAAGTTTTAAACCCAAACCACTTATTAGGATTAGGTCTCCCTTCTGCAAGTTCTACAAATGGAATGGAATGTGCTAGATTGCTCTTTTATAAAAAAATAAATAAAAGAACATTATTCTTTCCTTCAACAAAAATCTGTTGTATGTAAAAGAGAATGACTCCTATTCTTTTGTACTTAAATGAGAAAAGGGGAAGAAAAACATTGGTTTGTCGTTTCCCACTTAATTTCTGCAAAAAATGTTTTTTGTGGTACCTCATTATTCCACCCAAAAATAATAAGATTTCTTCAAATTCTCCTTTGGGTCCCCCCTCCCAAAGGCAGGAGCCATGTGGCTTTAATGCTTTTTGCAAAAAATTAAAGATGTGATAATGATAAAAGGTAAAAACCACAGTTGCCTTGGAGTTTTCCTGGTTATATAGACGCTTGGTTTTTCGTTTATTTTTCTGTGCATCAGACTTGATTTTTTTTTGTTCAGTGGAAAAGTACATTTTAAACAATAAATTATGATAGCTTAGCTTCAAGTTTATTACCTAAGTTTCTTCTCTTTATATGGTTGTTCCTAGGTCTTGATTGAAAGTCTGGTTTTTTTTTAGTCATTTGGCTTTGTGAGACCTTTTGTAAATTGGAGCCAGGTTGATTGTGGAGATGAGTTCTACTACTTCCAGGTAAATTTTTCACAATATTCACATCAATGGGGAAGAGATTTAGTCATCTGTCTTGCTAACTCTGGTTTTCGTATAATTTACTGTCACCTCATCAGTGCTGAAAATGAAAATTAGAAAAGGGATGCAAAGAATATTTTGTAATTTAAACCAATAATACAAAAAGAAAACCCGGTGCTCTCATGGAATTGCAGATGTGTTGTAAGAAATAATTCGAATAATTCAAGGTTCTTCTAAGTTAGCAGTGGGTTTCACATTATGTCACTACCGGTTCGCCGCGTGCACGCGCCCGGTTCACATGTGCACCTGCCTTCCGCACATGCACCTGGCCTTTCACACATGCGTTTTGCTCACTCGCATGCCTTCCACGCATGCGCCCGGCCTCAAAAATGTGCCTAAATAGGATGGCATAGAGCCTGGGCGGACCCGTGATTTTGCTACCGGTTCGGGGGTACCGGTCTGAACCGGCTGAATACCACCTCTGTTTTAAGTATCACAGAGATTGCGTTAACCATAGAAATACAGCAGGAAGAGTCTCTAGAGGCCCAGTTGTTCCAGGGGTGAAATGCTCCTGATCACCCGATCCGGTAGTGATGGCAGTGGGTGGTTCGGAAAACCGGTAGCAAAAATCCGTGCCCTCTCCCATGCCCAGATGAGCAACGCAATCATCAGAGACTTTTTTTTTTTAAAGCATTATTTCTACAACCTCTTCGGCCGAAAAAATGCTTTTAAAAGTAAAAAAAGAAAACCTCTGATGATCGCGCAGCTCAGCTGGGATCGTCAGAGGCTTTTAAAAGCATTTTTTCTACAATCTCTTCGGCCAAAGAGGTTGTAGAAAAAATGCTTTTAAAAGCCTCTGACAATCCCAGCTGAGTTGCCTGATCGTCAGAGGCTTTTAAAAACATTTTTTTTACAACCTCTTAGGCGAAAGAGGTTGTAGAAAAAATGTTTTTGTTTTTTTTTTAAAAAAAATCTGACGATCAGGCAACTCAGCTGGGATCGTCAGGCTTTTAAGAGCATTTTTTTTAACAACCTCTTCGGCTGAAGAGGTTGTAGAAAAAATGCTTTTAAAAGTTAAAAAAAAAGTTGGCCACGCCCACCCAGTCACATTAACCCCCCCCCACCAAGCCACACCCACAGAACCGGTAGTAACAAATTTTACATTTCACCACTGAGTTGTTCCCTATAATTCTATAATTCCATGAAATCAATACTGAATACTGTAGCCTTTGGAGAATGTAATCTATAACTTTACAAAATACTTCCTTGCATTAGATGCCGAAACAGTAAATGATGCAGCCATACTATTTTGCTGCTTTTTGTCTCTTAATTTTAGTGATGATGAAGAAAAAGACACATTTAAAATCTTAGTTGCTACAGACATTCACCTCGGATATTTGGAAAAGGATGCTTGTCGTGGAAATGACACTTTTGTAACCTTTGATGAAATATTGAAACTTGGTCAAGATAACGAGGTAACCCACTTTAAAATCATGTTACCAAACTATCACTGAAAGGTCACATATAGGAAGTCCTTGACTTATGACCACAGTTGAACCCAAAATTTCCATTGCTAAACAGGGCAATTTACTACTGATAAATTTGGAAGAAATACCATTAGAAAAAGTTGAAAGGATCACATACTTCAGTTTTAATTTACATGAAAGCTGGGACATGATCAGTGAAGTAAAGACAAGGATAGAGAAAGCTCGAACAGCATTCTTCAAAATGAAAAGGGTCTTTTGCAGTCACGACATAAGCCTAAAACTGAAAATCTTTATCTTTATCTTTATTTGATTTATATACCGCCCTACTCCCGAAGGACACAGGGCAGTGAACAGCCAAACAATAAAATACATAAATACAAAATTTAAAAACAGAATAAAACCGAATTAAACAATTTGGCCCAGACAGATTTAAAACACCCCAATCATTTAAAAACAGATTAAAATTTTCATATTAAAAAGAAAAAGGGAAAAGATTAGGCCAGGCCCGCCTGGTGGAATAAAAAGGTCTTGAGAGCGCAGCGGAAGGTGCGCAGATCCGGGATCCTCCGTATTTCCGTGGGGAGCTCATTCCAGATAGTAGGTGCCCCCACAGAGAAGGCTTGTCAGATGTTACATCTTTTCTATCCTCTACAGAGTAGAGAGTTGGTCTCTGACAGAAAACCACTTGAAGAAACTAAAAGCATTAGTGGCATGGAAGACGCAGTATTTAGGATTCATAGACCAAAAGGCACTTTGGAGGGGCTGTAAACTTAGTGCCTGCCTGCAGCTTCTTAAAGTAGCCACATCTGTTCTCAAAAAAACAAACAAACAAAAAAACCAACCCAACAACAACAACCCCAAACATTGTCTAGCTGAACCATTTTCAGAAATCTATAATTTTGAGAAAAATTGCATATCTAATAATAACATATCCCTCAAAATCTCTTCATAGGTGGACTTCATTTTATTAGGTGGAGATCTCTTTCATGAAAACAAGCCTTCCCGGAAAACAATATATACATGTTTAGAATTATTAAGAAAATATTGCATGGGTGACCGTCCGGTACAGTTTGAAATTCTGAGTGACCAGTCAGTTAATTTTGGCTTTAGCAAGTAAGTATTCCTATAGTAAATTAAGTTCAGGTTTTTTTGTAAATAACTGATTGTAACTGAATCACAGCTGTAACTGAACTGTAAGTAACTAAAGAAAGTTTGAGCCAGTTTGTTATTTTTTTTGCTTAGTGGTGCTAATTCTGGACAATGCTATATGTACATTTTTATTATGGTTTGTATTATTATTACACTGGGAGCTCTTGATTCCCCACCCCCCTTGAAATTCTGTTGCATTAGCCTCGTGGCCTGCAAATAAAAATTCTATGCATTCATGAAAAGTGCTATAATGGAAGAAATGCACTTTTCTTTTTATATATATTGAAATATCTCTCCAACTTCCTGAGCAGCTTTTCAGATCAAGAAGCAATCTGAATATATAAAAACTGTCTCATCCCTTTTCTCAAAACAGACAATTAATCAAATTAATTCTATTCCACTCTTCTATTTAATTCAATAGAAGGGAATATATGTGGCTTAGGGTTGAACTGGAGTTCTTGGTAATCTTTGAGTTTGGTTATTTGATTGCAGACCTTTCATTACCCATCAGCTAACATCACCAGTGTGAATGTATATGGAATTTGCTGACTAATATAGTGGCAGGACAAACGACTACATATAAACAGAAATTCCACACTCCATCACACTGATGATGTTACCTAGTTGGGTAGTGAAAGGTCTCTAGCCAAATAGCCAAACTCAGAAAACATCAAGAACTTCACAATTCTGAATTCAGTCTATCAGGTTGAATTCTATTTTTTAAAAAAACTTTCCTGTAGAGTTTAGCTGCATGTTGGAAATGATGCAGTAATATTTTTGCTTGCTTTAAACTTGTCCTGTCTAGGTTTCCATGGGTGAACTACCAAGATGAAAATCTCAACATTTCTATTCCAGTTTTTAGTATTCATGGCAACCATGATGATCCCACAGGGGTAAGAATGTGAAAAGAATGAAAGAAGAGCAGTAGCTTTATTAATTATGCTAGTAATTTTAGCATAATTTAGAAAGACAACCAACAACATAAAGATTACAATATAGCCATGATGGCGAACCTATGGCACCAGTGCCACAGGTGGCATGTGTAGCCATATCAGTGGGCACGTGAGTTCAACTGATTTTTGGGGCTTCTGGGCCCACTGGAAGTAGGGAAACACATTGATTCCTGCCTCCGGAGGGCCTTGGGGGTGGTGGGGAAGGCCCGTTTTTTTCTCTCCCCAGGCTCCAGAGCCTTTCTAGGAGCTTGGGGAGGGCGAAAACGGCTTTCCCCCCACCCAAGGCCCTCCGGAAGCCGGAAACAGCCTGTTTGCCAACTTCTGGAAGTTGGCAAATGGGCCGTTTCCGGCCTCTGGTGGGCCTCCGGGAGGGGAAGGCTGTTTTTGCACTCCCCAAGCTCCTAGAAAGGCTCTGGAGCCTGGGGAGAGAGAAAAACAGGCCCACCGGGCCATTGTGTGTCAGGAGTGGGGGGGGAGTGAGGGGTTCACATGCACGGGGGTGGGGTGCATAGAATTATGGGTGTGGGTACACGTGCATGCGACCCCCCACCCTCCCACCCGCGCTCCTGGCACGCGATGGCAAAAAGATTAGCCATCACTGCAGTACAGCAATTCTATACTAAAATCTGCTAGTGAAATTAAGCACGGGAATCTTGTATCCTATACCAAGAGTTTGGGAGGCTGCAGTTATATTTCTTAAACTTGCTTTCAAATTTATCATTGATTATGATTAGGAAGCCATACAAAATTAAAATAGCATTTAATGTAGTACATGGTTTGTGTTTTATAAAATGTAACTTTCTTAAGAGTAAAAAGCATACAACCTTTTATTGTATAATTGATTTGGTTCATTGTCTTCAACAAAAAAAATCACCAAGTTTTAAAAATTAAACGTTTACCATACTGATTTGGTATGTTTTATTTGTGAAATGTTGTTAATTTGTGGAAAAAATTGTAATTAGTTACATTCTGTTTTTTGTCTAATTGTTCATTCTTAATCTGGAGGAAGTAAAGCAGGTTAGAAGCTACAGTATTTGCTACACTTTATGTAGCTTGCAGTCACTCTTGTATTTTCCCCACTTTTGATGTCAAAGGCTTTAGAGGCTATTTAATACAGGGGAAAAAACATTAATTTGTCATTTAACCTTTGTCTGAGAAATGTAAGCAATCATAAATGCAAAGTATACTGGTTTTTACTTATGTGCGCGCACACATAAGTAAAAACACATTCTGGTTTTAACACTTTGTATGTTGGGAATTTAACAAAATTGATGTATCACAAATTCCATTTTTGTTGTTATTTTCCATATCTATAGGCAGATGGTCTTTGTGCTTTGGATATTTTAACTTGTGCAGGACTTATTAATCATTTCGGACGTTCACAATCTGTAGAGAAAATAGAAATTACTCCCATTTTGCTTCAGAAAGGAAATTCAAAGATTGCTCTTTATGGATTAGGTAAGATTTTTGCACATCTCTAATCGGGGCATGATATTATATATATAAGTAGTTCTCCAAAAGTGGAAAAAAAGAATAAAGATATTGAATTGAATTTTTATGCTGTAATTTGTGGGTTAGAATTAGGAGGAGGAGTAGCACGATTTGATCCACAAAAGATTGATTAGGTGTTTGAAAATACTTCCAACTATTTCAAGGGCAAAATTTTGTGAGATAACACATTTCTGAGTGCAAAGCCTCTGCTTTGGGAAACGTGCTGATCTAAGCATTCAGAAGTGTTTCAAGCTCAAAATTACCATTCCAAAACACTAAGATGAAGTTTAATTCTTGAAAGGATTCAAAAGGATAAGTTTTGCATGCCTCTAAATTTTATATAGGGACACAGTGGCTCAGTGGCTAAGGCGCTGAGCTTGTCAGTCGAAAGGTCAGAAGTTCAGCGGTTCGAATCCCTAGTGCCACGTAATAGGGTGAGCTCCCGTTACTTGTCCCAGCTTCTGCCAACCTAGCAGTTCAAAAGCACATAAAAAAGGCAAGTAGAAAAATAGGGATCACCTTTGGTGGGAAGGTAATAGTGTTCCATTTAGTCATGCTGGCCACGGCAATATTGGCTAATTATCGTCCAGTCTCCAACCTTCGCTTTGTGGCGAAGGTTGTTGAGAGTGTGGTGGCACGACAGTTTCCCCGGTACCTGGATGAAACGACGTATCTAGATCCGTTCCAGTCAGGTTTCAGGCCTGGGTACAGCACGGAAACGGCATTGGTCGCATTGGTGGATGATCTCTGGAGGGCTCGGGACAGAGGTTGTTCCTCTATCCTGGTCCTATTAGATCTCTCAGCGGCTTTTGATACCATCGACCATGATATCATGCTGCACCGGTTGGAAGGGTTGGGGGTGGGAGGCACCTTATTACGGTGGTTCTCCTTTCTCTCCGACCGGTCGCAGTCTGTGTTGACAGGGGGGCAGAGGTCGACCCCGAGGCCCCTTATATGTGGGGTGCCACAAGGATCGGTCCTCTCGCCCCTTTTGTTCAACATTTATGTGAAGCCGTTGGGCGAGATCATCCGTGGTTTCGGGGTGGAGTACCATCAGTACGCTGACGACACCCAGCTGTACATCTCCACCCCAGACCACCCCAATGATGCCCTTGAAGTAATGTCCCGGTGCCTGGAGGCCGTACGGATCTGGATGGGGAGAAAGAGGCTCAGGCTCAACCCATCCAAGACCGAGTGGCTGTGGTTTCCGACATCCCGATATAGTCAGCTGGTGCCATCGCTGACTATTGGGGGCAAAGCATTGGCCCCCACGGAAAGGGCTTGCAACTTGGGTGTCCTCCTGGATTCATGGCTGTCTTTAGAAGAGCACTTGACGGCCGTGACCGGGAGGATTTTTCATCAGGTTCGCCTGATCCGCCAGTTGCGTCCCTTTCTGGATCGGGACTCGTTACGCACGGTCACTCATGCCCTCGTCACCTCCCGTCTGAACTGTTGTAACGCTCTCTACATGGGGCTCCCCTTGAGGAGAACTCGGAGGCTCCAACTGGCGCAGAGTGCGGCCGCGCGGGTGGTGATGGGAGCGATGTGGCGCTCCCATGTAACGCCTCTCCTGCGCGAGTTGCACTGGCTCCCGGTGGTCTTCCGAGTGCGCTTCAAGGTTTTGGTCATCACCTTCAGAGTGCTCCATGGCTTAGGACCTGGCTATTTACGGGACCGCCTGCTACCACCAATAGCCTCCCACCGACCAGTACTCTCCCATAGAGAGGGGCTCCTCCGGGTGCCGTCGGCCAAACAATGTCGACTGGGGGCCCCCAGGGGGAGAGCCTTCTCTGTGGGGGCACCTACTATCTGGAACGAGCTCCCCCCGGAGATACGGAGGATTCCGGATCTGCGTACCTTCCATCGCACGCTTAAGACGTTCTTATTCCAGCAAGCCGGCCTGACCTAAACTTTTCCTCTTTTAAATGGGAATTTTAAATTTGGTTTTAAATTATTGGGGTTTTAAAATGGTTCAGCCAAATTTATTTAATTTGTTTTATCTCTATTTTAAATTTTGTATTTATATGTTTTATTTTATGGCTGTTCACCGCCCTGAGTCCTTCGGGAGTAGGGCGGTATACAAATTTAATAAAATGAAATGAAAAATGAAATGACCACGGAGACATCTTCGGACAGCGCTGGCTCTTCGGCTTTGTAATGGAGATGAGCACCGCCCCCTAGAGTTGGGAATGACAAGCACATATGTGCGAGGAGAACCTTTACCTTTACCTAAATTTTAAATATATTTTCATGCAATGAGTAAAGGAGTCCTTGCAGATTTTACTCCGCTAGTTCAAGAGTTTCCAACCTTGGCAATTTTAAGACTTGTGGACTTCAACTCCCAGAATTCCTCAGCCAGCAAAGAATTCTGGGAGTTGCAGTCCACAAGTCTTAAAGTTGCCAAGATTGGAGACCCCTGCGCTAGTCATTGCCGACTATAGAGGACGTTGATCATCTCCACTTCAAAGCCATTGAGCCTGCGCTCTCCAAAGACATTTTCGTGGTCATGTGGCTATCCTGACATCACAGAGTGCTGTTAACCTTCCCACCAAAGTGGTACCTATTTACCTACTTGCACTTACATGATTTTGAACGACTAGGTCAGCAGGAGCTGAGGTGAGGACTGGAGCTCACCCCATCACTTGGAGCTCAGGTCTCAAACCTAGGCTGTCGGCTTTCCAGCCGACAAGCCCAGCATCTTAACCTCTGAGCCACCTCATCGCTCCTTGTGCAGTGAGTGCCATGTGGAAAAAGTGTAAGGCTGCAAAGTGTTCCCAACCCCAGTTTGTCTTTAAGGTGTTGCAAAGGACTGACAAGGTCAGGGCCCACTTAATCTCGGGGGAATGATTTTCCAACAGAAAAGGCTTTCTTTAGTTGGGAAGCTGGCTGTGTAGCAAGCAAAATATTAAACTTGCTTCGATCTTTTGCCAGTAGAAAACTGCAAAATAATCTCATACGTTATCTAAATACTAGCTGGAATCTCACTACTCAGCTGTGTAAATTTCTGCTTGGTGGATCACTAAAAGCCCATTGCCTGTACGGTAATTTTTCTCCTCTAGGATCTATTCCCGATGAAAGACTATATCGCATGTTTCTGAATAAACAAGTAACCATGTTGAGGCCAAAAGAAGATGAAGATACATGGTTTAATCTGTTCGTAATTCATCAGAACAGGTACAGCTGCTGTTTAGTAACGCAACCAATCTGAGTGTTTCCCACTTGATTCGTACCGATTTAAAATTATATCATTGAAATGTTTGTGTCATACCAAACAAATTCAAGTTGCATTAATCGGCTTGGGAAAAGCCAGTATTTCAGCATCACATTATACTGTAGTGAAATGTCTAGAATTTTATGTTCTCTAAAACAAGAAGCAGTTGGTTTTCTGGGTTTCAGGAAGATATAAAAAAATTGATTGCTGGATGGAATCTAGATGAACTCAGTGTCCCAATATTATTATTATTATTATTATTATTATTATTATTATTATTATTATTATTATTATTATTATTATTATTAATTTAATATTAATATTAATATTAAAAATCTATATTTTATGTCAAATTTCTTTGGATATTGACCTAGTTTAAAAATGCTTTGCTGTACGTATTCTGTGTGCAGAGTATACAATGTCCACCTTTGATTTTTGTTTGTGCGTTCATTTTGCACTTCAAGTTTGTTGTGCAATGAGCACATTTTATGTGAGAAGTTTGACCTGGGATTCAGTAGCAAATTCTGTATCTGAATGTAAATTCAGCCCACTATGTCACACTAATGAATTCTTGTTAAAAACCTCCTTCCTCCCTGCCTTCCTGCCTTCCTCCCGCCCCTCTCCCTCCTCCCATCCCTCCCTCTCTCCGCCTCCCTCCCCCCGCCTGTCTCCTTCCTTCCTACCTCCCTCTGCCTTTCTCCTTCCTTCCTCCTTCCCTCCCTCTGCCTTCCTCCTTCCCTCCCTCCACCTTCCTCCTTCCTCCCTCCCTCCTTCCACCTCTCCCTTCCTTCGTTCCTTCCTCCCTCCCTCTGCCTGGCTCCTCCCTCCCTCCCTCCCTCTGCCTTTCTCCTTCCTTCTTTCCGCCCTCCCCTCCCTTCCTCCGCCTGTCTCCTTCCTCCCTCCCTCTGCCTTCCTCCTTCCTCCCTCTGCCTGTCTCCTTCCTCCCTCACTCCCTCTGCCTTTCTCCTTCCTTCTTTCCGCCCTCCCTCCCTTCCTCGCCTGTCTCCTTCCTCCCTCCCTCTGCCTTCCTCCTTCCTTCCTCCCTCCCTCTGCCTGTCTCCTCCCTCCCTCCCTCCCTCTGCCTTTCTCCTTCCTTCCTTCTTCTTTCCCTCCCTCTGCCTTACTCCTTCCTTCCTCCCTCCCTCTGCCTTTCTCCTTCTTTCCTCTTTCTCTCCCTCTGCCTTCCTCCTTCCTTCCTTTATCCCTCCATCCGCCTGTCTCCCTTCCTTCCTTCCCTCCCTCCCTCCTACCCACCCACTCATCCATCCAAAAAATGAGTACAAACAGCTTACAAAACAGCATACAATAAATGCATTAACAAATCAACTTCATGGTCATATTGCAGTAACAACAAGAATATCACTTAACAGCCCTTACATGCATCTTCACTACACCTTTCCCCTACCTTTGAGTCTATTAATGCCTGCTTAGATAGCCCAATTTCTCTACTTGTCTAAAATTAACAACACAGCTTATTTCTAGGTAGTTGATTCCATGGGCGAGAAACTTTTTTTTCAGATTCTTATCCTGTCAGATTCCCAAGTTGTATCTTAAGGGGAGTGACGCAGGAACTCTTAGTATGGTTTCTCTTCCAGAGCACTTTAGGAAGGCATGGTCTACTTGGAGATGGCAATCCTGTAGTTATCTAGGCCCTAAGTCCAACATATGAAGGACTTTTACTGTTAGAGCTTTAAATAGTATTGGGAAACAAACTGGTGTTTCTAAGAGATCAGAATTTGTTGTTGTTAGTTGCGAAGTTGTGTCCAACCCATCGCAACCCCATGGGCAATGTTCCTGCAGGCCTTCCTGTCCTCTACCATCCTCTGGAGTCCATTTAATCTCATGCCAACTGCTTCAGTGACTCCATCCAGCCACCTCATTCTCTGTCATCCCCTTCTTCTTTTGCCCTCAATCTTTCCCAGCTTGAGGTTCTTCTCCAGTGAGTCCTTCTTCTCATTAGGTGGCCAAAGTATTTGAGTTTCATCTTCAGGATCTGGCCTTCTAAAGAGCAGTCAGGGTTGATCTCCTCTAGGACTGACCGGTTGGGTTGGATTGCTTTGCAGTCCAAGGGACTCGCAGGAGTCTTCTCCAGCACCAGAGTTCAAAGGCCTCAATTCTTTGGCACTCAGCCTTCCTTATGGTCCAACTTTCACAGCCATACATTGCAACTGGGAAAACCATAGCCTTGACTGTAAGCACTTTTGTTGGCAGGGTGATGTCTCTGCTTTTTAGTATGCTGTCTAGATTTGCCATAGCTTTCCTCCCCAGGAGCAAGCCTCTTTTTATTCCTTGGCTGCAGTCCCCATCTGCAGTGATCTTGTGGTGATTAGGCCAAGTGATTTAAGAATCCCCATGGAGGCTTGCCTCAGTGAAATTTAATCTAATTTAATTTAATTTAATCTAGATAATTCGGAGGAATGTGATGGTGCCCCTTCGTTTTTTTTTCCCCCTTAGCTACCTGATTCATGATACAGTCCCCAGGTTACATCTTATGCCTTTGGTCTATATTCATCTCATCTGAAGAACATAGATACTATGTTCACTTCATCTGGATCCTGAATTGATAGCCTCTTCTTAATTGTATCATCCATCCTGGGATGTTGAAATTGTTGTTTATTTGCACCCGTGGGATGATCTGTCTCTCGTATTGATCAAGTCATTGAATTTGACAGTGACACAGTTTTCAATGTAGCAAAATAATTTTTAGAAACTAGAGCAGCAAAACGTAATTTGAGATGTATTTATTATTTATTTATTAATTCATTTTATATGCCGCCTTTCTCCGAAGACTCAGGGCGATTATGTTTTGAAATCTAGATGGGATTGTATCTGTAGCTATCAGAATCTAATCTTTTCTTTTGCTTTCCCTTAATTACTAGCATAATTAATAAAGCTCCCCATTTTGATCTCTGATCATCACATTTGGGACAGTAAGAATGGGTCATATTTAAAAGATGGATATTTTGGTTTATTGTTTGCAAAATGCTGTTTTAATTTTTTTTTTTTTTTTTTTGCTGTCGTTTTTGTTTCCTTTGGCACAGGAGTAAACACGGCGCCACAAACTATATTCCAGAACAGTTTCTAGATGACTTCATTGACCTTGTAATTTGGGGTCATGAGCATGAATGTAAAATATCTCCAACCAGAAACGAGCAACAACTTTTCTATATTTCTCAGCCAGGAAGTTCGGTGGTTACGTCTTTGTCACCAGGGGAAACTGCCAGAAAGTATGTCCTTATGTGTTTCACTGATTTGCATTGTATATTCGGTAAAAATGTGTGGGAGCCTTTCCTCTAAATACTATATCCTTTTCATTCTTGAGGAATCTAGGGAGTTTTGCTTTTTTGGGGGAGATGGACCACAGATTGGTTCTCTTATGCTTAACAGAAGGGATAATCCAAAGAAAATCTGAAAGGAACATGATTTGACAAATAGCATTTTCAACTGTCACAATATCAAAGCCACCTTGACTAATAAGTTATTTAAGGGTTAGTAAATTACTCACTACATTGTTTCTCTAAATGCAGTATTGTTCTTGGTATTAAAATTTGCTAACTAACAGATTTATAAGAAAGGAGAAAATTTCCCCTGGGCTTCCTAGCTGATTGACCATTCAAGAATGGATTAAGCCCGTGATGGCGAACCTATGGCACGTATGCCACAGGTGGCATGCGGAGCCTTCTCTGAAGGCACGCGAGCCGTCGCCCAGCTCAGCTCCACCGCGCATGCGTGTGCCTCCAGCCAGCCAGCTGATTTTTGGGTCTGGCGTGGGGGCGGGGCACATGTGGGAGATGCGCGCACATGTGCGGGGGTCTCACGCACATGCACCGGGGCGGGAGAGGGTCTCACACGCATGTGCGGGGGTGGGGGGAGCGCAGGGAGCATGGCTCATGCCCCACATCAAAATGGGCTGTGGGGGAGCGATGCGCCCCCTCCCATGGCCCGTTTTTAGTCCCAGGAGGCTTCAGGGGGGCTTGCCAGGTCCAAAACGGGCCGCAGGGGGTTGCGCACGCATGAGCAGTGGGGGAAGCATGGGGGGGCATGCACATGTGTATGGGGGTGGGGGAGCATTGGGGGCACGTGCAGAAGCAGGGGGTCACGCATTTATGTACGGGGCGGGGCATGCATGGAATTGCATTATGGGTGTGGGCACACAGCACGTGACCCACCCACCCCCACACTTCCCCCGCTTTTGGCATGCGACGGCAAAAAGGTTAGCCATCACTGGACTAAGCGTTTCATTTCAAAGTTACAACGGCACTGAAAAAGGCGACTTATGACCGTTTTTCACACTTACTACCGTTGCGGCATCCTCATGGTCCCTTGATTCAGAATTTGGAAGCTTGGACTCTGGCTCATATTTATGACCGTTGCTGTGTCCCAAGGTCACGTGATCCCCTTTTGTGACCTTCGGACAAAGGCAACAGGGGAAGCCAGATTCACTTAACAACCAAGTTACTCACTTAGCAACCGCAGTGATTCGCTTCACAACGATGACCAGAAAGGTGGTAAAATGAGGGCATGATTCACTTAACAACTGTTTTGTTTAGCCACAGCAATTGTGGGCTCAACTGTGGTTGTAATTCGAGGACTACCTGTCGTTAGAGTTTGCATCTGATATTGGAGCAGGCCACTCAGTGATTTGGAGATGTTCAGCAGATGCCCCTGTTGTCAGGGTTCCAAGGAACACCCCCAGCGAAATAAATCTCTGGGGCCTGAGGTTCCTCAGTGTTCCAATTTATTAGAGATGTCATGTTGGCACATCTGGGAAAACCCGAATCTGAAAGCTTCCAGGTTTTCCACACCCAGCTGACAGTTCACAGCCCTGCCACACCCACAAGTTCATCACATTGTCCAGTCAACTCTTCACACTCAACTGGATACAATCTTCAGGCAGTCTCCATCAGGCGCAGGCAAAAGTCCTTGAATACGGAATGTTGTTATGACTAACTGTCTACAGCTCCAACAACAACCCCCTCCCAACCTCCCCAGCTAAAATATATGGCAGTTAAGAAGCAAAAAAGAAAATTGTCTTCCAAAACTGACACCTGTCTTCTAAATTACAAAATGAGACTGAACACTTTTTCTGTCATCAAGAAAACTGTGGAAGAGGAAATGAATGATAGAAATCCCTCTCATGTTTAGTTCTGTTTTATCCAGGAAAATTACATTCTTATGTGCTGTATATAATAATTGATACAGCTCACTGGGTAGCTTAAGGGAATTCCTTTTTCACAGTTCCAGGTTCTCTCACAAGGTTGTTAATTAATGAAAAGGGGGATGACAATATTGAAGCTGCCTTTATCTTCAATATTGACTCAGCCTTCCATCCTTCCGAGGTCAGTAAAATGAGGACCCAAACTGTTGGGGGCAATATGCTGACTCTGTATACCACTTAGAGAGGGCTGTAAAGCACTGTAAAGTGGTATATAAGTCTAAGTGCTATTCAGAGGTGGTATTCAGCAGGTTCTGACCGGTTCTTGCGAACCGGTAGTGGAAATTTTGAGGAGTTTGGAGAACCGGTAAATACCACCTCTGCCTGCCCCTCCCCCCCCAATCTATTCACTGCCTCCCAGTCTCCTAGCTGATTGGCTAGAAGGAAAAAATCAGGGCTCGCTTTTCAGCCGGGAGATCGCTTGGCAAAGAAGAAGAAGAAAAACAAGACACCGGTCTCTTTAAATTGACAAGCCAAGAAGCAGCTGCTGGAAGGAGGGTTTTACTTGCAGAAATGAAGTGATATTCAGCAGTTCGTTTCTGGGTCAGCTGAACAACAAACTGGATAAGAGGAGGGATTCTTATATCAGTGGTGGATTTCAAAAAATTTTTTACTACCGGTTCTGTGGGTGTGGCTTGGTGGGCGTGGCAGGGGAAGGATATTCCCACCCCACTCCAGGGGAAGGATACTGCAAAATCCCCATTTCCTCCCAATCAGCTGGGACTTGGGAGGCAGAGAATAGATGGGGGCAGGGCCAGTCAGAATTTTTACTACCGGTTCTCCGAACTACTCAAAATTTCCGCTATTGGTTCTCCAGAACTGGTCAGAACTTGCTGAAACCCACCTCTGTCTTATATGGTTCTATATTTTTGAAGTTTTGGGGTTTGTGTTTCTAAAAAGGTTTGGGCGATTCCCATAGCTGTTTTCTTGTTACAAAGTTTCCTTTATGCAGCTGGCAGGAATGTGGAATGAGCCTCAGGCAGGTTCCTTTGTTAGCATCTTGATTTTTCTTTGCTTTTCTGGGAGCTTTTTCTTATGAGTAATATTTTATTTGGGGAAATGAAGGGGGGGGGTGATTTCTTCCCAGATCAGGTTAGTGGGGTGGGGAAGGAATGGGGATTTTGAAGTAACCTTCCCCTGGAGTGGGAAGGGAATGGGGATTTTGCAGTATCCTTCCCCTGCCACGCCTATCAAGCCACACCCACCAAGCCATGCCATGCCCACCAAGCCACACCCACAGAACTGGTAGTAAAAGAATTTTGAATCCCACTACTGGTGCTATTGCTATTTACTTAGAAAGTGGAATATAAATGTAAGAAACAATTTGGCCTACTTCTAGTTATTAAACACAATAAATCATCAGTTGCAGTGAGATAATGTGACTGGATTTAAATAAAAGAGTTACTCCATTATTCACTTATGTAAATCTTCGAGCTGACTTTTTGATGATACTACTATTACATCGGAAGCACCGAAGTGCTTCTTGGTTGAGAGGATTGAATGGTGATATCCAAGGGATGCCCAGTTGGAGGCTTTCATGTCCCCATTAAAGTACCCATCTACCTGTGGTCACCCGCTTTCAAACTGCTGGGTTGGCAGGAGATGGAGCGTGTGACAGGAGCTCATCCCATCCCATGGTAGCAACCGAGTCTCAAACGTGATCCTGCCAATCGTCCGCCTACCTAACCTCGTGAGCCATCACGTTCCTTACTTTTTCATGTTTCTAGATGGGTGTTCTTGGCCATGGATCTTGACCTGCTCCATCTCTGAGGGTTCCATTTTTATTGCCATTGCTTTCTGCCAAATTCTGTAGCTCTGCTGAAATTCTACCACGTTGCCAAGATGTAAACAGCTTTGTTTCCATTCCTTCCAGACATGTTGGCTTGTTGCACATCAAAGACAAAAAAATGAAGATGCAGAAGATTCCTCTTCAGACCGTACGGCCTTTCTACCTCGAAGACCTTGTTCTAGCTGACTACCCGAACTTTTTTCTCCCAGACAACCTAAAAGTCACACAAGTAATACAAGATTTCTGCATGGAGAAGGTAATGATTTTTTTAAAAAAATGCATACAGATATTATTTTTACTATAAGACTAGATGTGGTACTAGATAGAAGCCAATATCAGGTAAGTGGAGTTCGTTTTAAACAAAAGAATTTTTCTGCATTGTCTCTCAAATCTCATTGTTCTACACCAGGGGTGTCAAACTGGCAGCCCGTGAGCCAGATGCGACACGCGCGGGCCACGCCCACCCCAGTTCCGCGAAGGGGGGGAAAGTCACAAAACGTCACATGACGGCAACATGGCGCTGAGAGTTTGACGCCCGTGTTCTACACACAGACACACCGGCGCGCACTTCCATCACCTTTTAAAATAAGTTAAGCTTAATTTAAGGGTCGTGTTAAATTTTTTAGTGTTCTTTGCTTCCAAAATGGCAGAAATGCTGCTTCCAACTTTTGGCAATTGCTGCTGTCAAGGTCCATATGACTCCAAAAAGAGTTTTTGAGAGTCTGTTTCAGGGGTGAAATCCAGCAGGTTCTGACAGGTTCTGGAGAACCGGTAGCGGAAATTTTGAGCAGTTCGGAGAACCAGTAGCAGAAATTTTGAGTAGTTCGGAGAACTGGCAAATACCACCTCTGACTGGCCCCAGAATGGGGTGGGAATGGAAATTTTGCAGTATCCTTCCCCTGGAATGGGGTGGGAATGGAGATTTTGCAGTATCCTTCCCCTGCCACGCCCACCAAGCCACACCATGCCACGCCCACCAAGCCACGCCCACAGAACCAGTAGTAAAAAAATTTGGATTTCACCACTGGTCTGTTTAGACTGGGGATTATAGATTGTATGGTCTTGGTAATATTTCCTATCATAGGCTTTCTCAAATGTTTTGGCATCAATTCTTTGCATTTCTCTCAAGTATAGACTAGCTAGCTTGGGGTACTATCTATTCCTACTAAGTGAGAAGAAGAGATTCCAATTAAATACAAGCAGGCTACATTGCCTAAATTAATTTTGCTGTGGCTTTTAGAGTATTACAAGCACAATAAATCCAATACTATTCTGTGTTGGGACAGATTACCTTCATTGGAAATCAGCCTTGTGGCTTCCCATTTATGTAGTTTTGACTTAAATCCAATATGTATGTAGCAGCAGAAGAAAATTTCTTAGAAAGCTTAAATTAAAGATTGCTTGCTTTAATCTATATCATGCATATATTGATACCTGGTGCAGCAAATTTTTGCATTTAGCAAATTTTGTCCCTTTCTTAAAGGTTGAATTGTTGCTGGAAAACGCAGAAAGAGAACGTCTCGGAAATCCCAAGCAACCAGAGAAGCCTCTAATAAGATTACGAGTAAGAATGTGGTCTTTAAATCAGATTTCTTCCTCGTGTTTCGTTTCACCTTGGAACCAAATTTTAATAGGCAGTAACTTTTCAAGTATGGGTTGATTTTTAAACAATTTTACATGTCTGATGGATCTCTTGAGGCTTTAGTTTTGCTTAATTAAGTAGCAGTAAAATATGCCTTAGAGATGGAGGTTGAGGATCTTACAGGAGCTAATTTTATAAACTCCTGGACTGTTTGAAGATGCATGAATATTAAAATTGAATATATTTTCAGATATGCCAGCTGTTAGCACACGGTGTTCCTGTGAATTACTAATTGTAGCTAGAACGTGCTATAATACTAATACTTCAGTAAATATTTGCTATATTAAAATAATAAAGTGTTTGCTAATAGTTTAGTGAAATCCTGATAAGCGCATCAAATTCAACCGATGAATTTTTAATTATTTTCAGATGCCTAATTGCAAATTCTCACATCTTTTATGCTTTATCTTATTTGATTTGAAGGTAGATTACAGCGGAGGCTTCGAACCATTCAGTATGGTCCGTTTCAGCCAGAAATACATGGATAGAGTGGCTAATCCAAAAGACATCATACATTTTTTCAGGCATCGGGAACAAAAAGAGAAAAATGGTAATGTTTTTTTAAAAAAATATATAATTTCCAAACTCATTGTAGTAAGTATTGTCACTAGGAAAAATAATACTATCCATAGAGGTGTTTCTTTTTTGTGTGGGAAATTATGTGTGTTGGGATGGGTGAGTGAGATGAAGCATAATTACAGGTAGTCCTCAATTTACAACCACAATTGAACCCCAAATTTCAAGGAGGAACAGTTATTAAGTGAGTTTTGCCCCATTTTATGACCTTTCTGGCCACAGTTGTTAAGTGAATCACTGCAGTTCATAACGTGATTGTTAAGTCTGGCTTCCCTTTGACTTTCCGTGTCAGAAGGTCGCAAAAGGTGAGCACATGATCTTGGAACACTCAAATGCCAGTGGCCAATCATCTGAATTTTTATCACATGACCATGGCAACAATCGTGTGAGAAATGGTTGTCTTTCTCTTTCTCTCCCTCTCTCCCTCCCCCCTCCCAAGTTTTCGCGAGTGTGTGTATGTAAAAAGGTAAAATCTCGGGTGTTTTCCCGCATCATTAAAAGTCTGTTAGTTAAAATGCTTAAAATCCTGGCTAAAATCCCAGCTTAAAATCCTCCAAAATCCCAACAAAACACTTTGTAAAGTCTTTTGAAACTCTGGCTAAAATCCTAACCAACACTTTAAAAGTTTTCTTTTTGGCAACGTTTCGACAAGCTCTCTAACTTGTCATCATCGGGCCCCTACTTTCAGTATAGAAGCTTTGGGTATGCTGCGAGGTCGGAGTTGTCGCTTTTCTATGTTTGCTGCTGCTGACGTATGCTGATTAGCCTGCAACTCTGTGCCCTGATTGGAGGGCAGCAGTTTTTTCTCCTGCTTCATTATCCTAGCTGCAGCCTGACTGCGTGTTAAAGGCCCAGCTTTCTCTGGTTCTCTATTACTAACTGTCAACTGCAAAGAGGGAAGGATTCTGGTAGGCATCACAACACTGCTGATTGTCTGTTGAGATCTCAGCCTGTCTTCTGGCTCCGTTCTCTCTCTCTCTCTCCCTATTGCTAGCTATCATCTGCAAAGAGGGAAAGACTCTGGCAGGCATTACAACACCACTGGTTGCCTGTTGGGATCTCTGCCTATCCTCTGATGTTAGAACTCGAGTTTCCCTCAGTGCAGGTCTCCAAATACTTGATAACCTAGAAGCGTCATCTTGTCTATTCATATTCTGCGGCCTCTTTTCAATTTCGAAAATTGAAATTATGTAGGCTATAATAGACATAAAACACAACATATTTTCTGTTTTTTTTCAGATATATGTTTGTGTTTGTGTGATTTTTCTTTTTAAAAAAACTTCATAATAGCGATTATTATAGCAAGCATTTTCTTAAATGTATTAAGACATATTTTATATTTCTTTATTTATGTTTTTAGAAGACGAAGTTAACTTCAGAAAACTGGTCCGTAGGCCGGGAGCTGAGGGAACAACACTGCGGGTAGAGGATTTAGTAAAGCAATATTTCCAAACAGCAGAGAAGGTAAATATATTTTCCAGTATTTATGACTAGGTTTAAAAATAGTCATCAGACTAGGTCAGAGTTTCTCAACCTTGGTAATTTGAGTGTACTTAGCCCCAGCTGGCTAAGGAATTCTGGGAGTTGAAGTCCACACATCTGCAAACTGCCACGGTTGAGAAACTCTGGACTAGATTTTAATTGTATGATTGGAGTTCCATTATTGGATTTTTACATTTAATTTTTTGGCAGTTTGTGGTTTGATATTGCATTGAGATAAATAATCTGGATATGAAACATTTTGAAAATTATTTGGGGATTCTTAGCTAACACAGTACAGTTTGCTTGTACATCTAGAACAGGGATCTCCAACCTTGGCAACTTTAAGACTTTTGGACTTCAATTCCCAGAGTTCCCAGAATTCTGGGAGTTGAAGTCCACAAGTCTTAAAGTTACCAAGGTTGGAGACTCCTGATCTACAATACAATCAGAGCTTGGAGTTAACAGGAATTTGGAACCATGCCTTGATATTAAATGCCAACTGACTTTGGTAGCAGGTACTCTTTTGTAGTTAAGTTACAACATTTGTAACTTTTTGTAGCTAAGTTACAAGTGAAACTTTTTGTAGCTAAGTTGCAGCAAAAGTTAATAGCAATAGCATTTAGACTCATATACTGCTCCATAGTGCTTTACAGCCTTCTCTGAGAAGTTAACAGAGTTGTTATATTGTCCCAACAGTTTGGGTCCTCATTTTACTGACCTCGGAAGGATGGAAGGCTGAGTCAACCAGGATCGAACTGGCTATGGGCAGAATTAGCCTGCAATGCTGCACTTTAACTACTGCACCACTAGAGTTCTTAAAACAAATAAATAATTACATCTTGGGTCAAGCTAATCCTGTGGTCATTTCAGCCCTACTTTCTTTGGCCTGATGAGTATATAAAATTAACTCAAACTGGGCTGTTTGTGTCTCCAAGAAAGTGCAGCTTTCTCTTCTGACCGAGAGGGGCATGGGGGAAGCCGTGCAAGAATTTGTGGACAAGGAAGAGAAGGACGCTATTGAAGAACTGGTGAAGTTCCAGTTAGAAAAGACCCAGCGATTTCTGAAGGAGCGGCATACAGATGCAGAAGAAACAAAAATCGATGAGGAGGTTTGTAATGGAATGGTTTACTCTTCCTGGGCACATTCAAGAATTGAATATTACAAATGTCACATCCACGGCAAGGGGGACGATTGGACCAGCTGCTTCCATTTTTTTAATCTGAGTTGCTTTTGGCCACATTCAGGTGGTCAAGTCCTTGTATAATGTACCAGAATAGCAATAGCCTTTAGATTTATATACTGCTTCACAGTACTTTTACAGCCCTCTCTAAGCGGTTTATAGAGTCAGCCAATTGCCCCCAACAATCTGGGTCCTCATTTTTACCGACCTTGGAAGGATAGAAGGCTGAGTCAACCTTGAGCCTGGTGAGATTCGATCTGTCAAATTGCAGTCAGCCAGCAGTCAGCAGAAGTAGCTTGCAGTACTGCGCTCTCACCACTGCGCCACCCTGGCTCCTCTATAGAATATGTAGGTAGCCCTGGACTCACGACCACAGCTGAGCCCAAAATTTCCATTGCTAAGCAAGACAGTTGTCAAGTGAGCTTTGCCCCATCTTAACCACCTTTCTTGCCAGAGTTGTTATGGGGATCACTTCAGTTGTTAAGTTAATAGCATGGTTGTCAAATGAATCCGACTTCCCCATTGTCTTCGCTTGTCAGAAGGTTGCCAAAGGTGATCCCATGACCCCGGGACACTGCAACCGTCATAAATACATGCCAGTTGCCAAGTGTTCGGCTTTTGATCACATGACTATGGAAACACTTCAACGACCGTTAAGTGTGAAAAATGGCCATAAGTCATTTCTTTGAGTGTTGTTGTAACTTCGAACAGTCACTAAACAAATGGTTGTTAGCTGAGGACTCTCTATACTTGTATTTCAGCTACCCTTCCTCCCCCCTCCCCTTACTATTTCAGCAAGGAAAGAAGCTGCATTAAGCATGTGCTCTTCTTTCATCTAAATATATTCAGTGATTCTTCCATTTTAATACAGGTGCAGCGCTTCAGAGAATCAAAAAAAAAGAACACAGTGGAAGAGGACGAGGAAGTTCGTGAGGTAGGCCGAAAACCAAGAAAGAATCAGATGAGGTTCCTATTAATTGAACGGTGTGTTTCACTTCTCGGTCTAAAGCAGGGGTGTCAAACTCGATTTCATTAAGGGCTGCATCAGGCTTGTGTTTGACCTCAAGGGGCCGGATAGGCATGGCCTGGGTAGGCGTGGCCAGCTCAACGTCCTGCAGCCCGTTCTCTGCCAGGGAAAACGGAGCCCAGGAGGGCCACATGCAGCCCTTTCCCCAGCTGAAGCCTCCTCCAATTCTCTTTCGGCCTTTTGTTTAGAACCATCAATCAACTCCGTTCCTGACATGCCAGGGATGAGCTCAATCCTCCCTTGAGCTGACCTCTGAGAAAGTATCTGCGGAGTCATCCCAAGGAAGACATCACAGCTTTTCGGATTTGAGTGAAAATTCTCCTTTCTTTCTTTCTCTTTCTTTGTTCCTTTACTTCTCTTTTTCTCAGGCTATCAACAGGGCCAAGGCCAGGTCTCAGGAGACAGGTTATGCTTCAGCGATGAGTGATGAGGACCTGATGGATGTGGCCACCTTTGACCAAAGAGTCAATGATGAGTCAGACGACTCTTTAACTCCCAGCTGGGGTAGACAGAGAGGTCGGGCGAGAGGCAGAGGACAGAAGGTCTCAACCAGGGGAGCATCTCGGCGAGGAAGAGGAGGCTAGTTTCTGTCCATCTTGCAATTCTATAAAGCTGTTGTGGTTGATTGTTGGCTTACAGCAGTGGTGAAATCCTCTGAAGTCTGCTACCAGTTCTGTGAGTCTGCTACCGAGCGTGTGCTTCGTGCGCACATGCGTGCCTGAGGCACGCCCGCACAGCACTAAAAAAGGAACATTTTGAAATCTTCCGAGTCTGCAAAGATAAATAGAACAGTGAGGGGGGAGGAATCCGCTGTTCCACGCGATTTAGATTAGCTAGAAAGCAGGAAAGCCGACAGTCGTAGCTAATATAAATGGTGTGTCACAGCTGATTGCCACCCAGCTGATCGTCGGAAATATCGGTTTGCCCGAACCTGTAACATTTTATACTACTGGTTCACCTGAACTGGTCCAAACTGGTAGCATTTCACCCCTGGTTTACAGGTAGTCCTCAACTAAACGACAGTTCATTTAGCAACCATTCAAAGTTACAATGGCGCTAAAAAAAGTGACTTGTGACCGTCTTTTCACACTTAGACCATTGCAGCATCCCCAGGGTCATGTGATCAAAATTCAGACGCTTGGCAACAGATGCACATTTACGCCGGTTGCAGTGTCCCATGATCATGTGATTACCTTTTACGACCTTCTGACAGACAAATACAACTTTTTTGTCAATTTTGTGCAATTTAGGGTGCTTTATTCTCAAAATTAAAATTATTTTTATAAAAGGAAATAAGTACCATATTTTTCGGCGTATAAGACACACTTTTTTCTTCCTAAAAGAGGGTGAAAATTTGGGTGCGTCTTATACACTGAATGTAACCAAAAACACGCACGGATGGTCTGTGGCAATCCCTGCAGCCTGGAACAGCTGATTGGGGGTATTCGGGGAGGCTGATCCACCCTCCAATCAGCTGCTTGTGCTGAATCAGGCTGCAATAATGTGCTGAAGCTGACCTGGCTGTTTGCTATTTGCTGCAAGGACTCAGAGCTTGCAGCAGCAATCACATCCAGAAAGCACACACAAGTAACTGATTCAGCAGGATTCAATAACTTCTCCTTATATATAATCAGGGGTGAAATGCTCCCGGTTCGGACCGGCTCGGGCAAGTAGGTAGCGATGGCGGCGGGCAGTTCGGAGAACCGGTAGCAAAAATCCCTGCCCCCGCCCCCCCATGCCCAGCTGAGTCGCGTGATCATCAGAGCCTTTTTTTCTTTTAAATGGCTCTGATGAACCAAGCTCTGATGATCCCAGCTGAGTTGCCTGCTAATCGGTAGCAAAAATCCCTCCTCCCCCCCACCCCCACCCCCCCAGCTTCCAGCTTGCTTACCTTAGCTGCTGGTCGCAACGCCTGCCTTGCTTCACTTGCTGTAACACCTGCAATCCATTGCATCAGCAAGCAACTGAATCCCTCTGCCTGCAATCAAGCTTATCGGTGAGCAGCTCTATCTGCAACTTTAAGACTTGTGGACTTCAACTCCCAGCAAAGCTGGCTGAGGAATTCTGGGAGTTGAAGTCCACAAGTCTTAAAGTTGCCAAGGTTGGAGGCCCTGTGTTCTATTGGGTAAGTTTTTTTCCCCTTTGGGAGCTTTAAAAAAAATAGTTAATTGGGGGTTTTTTTAGTTGTTCTTTTTTTAGACCTAACCATTTAAAGTTTAGGAAGTTTTAAATTTAGTTGCTTTTATATAAAAATAAAATAAAATTAAAATAAAATAATATTTGTGCAGCTTTCTGAGATTTAGTGTGTTTCTGTAGTGTTTCACTCTAACTACACAAACACACAAAATCTCATAAAGCTGTTTGTGGAATTTTGTGTGTGTAAAGTGTGAAAGTTGGTTTTTTGGGCTTTTTGCGGCTGTGTGAGGTTCCTGCTTATTGCAGGGGCCATTTTGAGTCTAGTACAGCTGCTTTTACATTGTGGGTGAGCCAGTTGTGTTGTGTTGTGTTTTGTAGGTTAAAAAAGGACAAAGAAGTGACATTGACTTGGCCATGCCCACCCAGTCACCTTACCACCAAACCACGCCCACTAATTAAGCCATGCCCACAGAACCGGTAGCAAAAAATTTTAGATTTCACCCCTGTATATAATATAACACATGACGTAAATATACAATACCAAAAGCAGGGTTTCCAACATGGTAGTAAATACAAGCAAAACACAAGCAGAGGAGAGGAGGTTCAGTTTCAGTTTTGAGCAGCAGACTAGAGCTAAGCCACGCCCAGGCTCCTTGCTGTCTCCTTCCTTGTTGCTCACACAGCAAATACTGTTTCAGTTTCCAAACAGCCCTCAACTCTCACACTGACAGGACACTAGCCAGATGAATACCAATGGATGCTAGTAGGCAGAGGCAGGATTTTTTTCTTCTTGTTTTCCTCCCCAAAAACTAAGGTGCGTTTTATACTCTGAAAAATATGGTAATTTTGGAGCTCAATAATATTGTCTAACCACGAACATTAGTGCTAGGTGTCTGCAGGCCCCCCGTTGCCAGTCCTGTGTTGGTCCTTAAAAGACATTGCAGTCTGCACAAACCAGTTTGGTAACACTGTCCTAAAGGCTTAGTAATTGGCGAAGGAGTGAGAAAATGTAAATGTTTACTCTTTGTTGTATTTTTTACAGGAAGTGCTGGCCGTGATCAAACTGGAAACAGTAAAACGTATAAGCCTGCAACTACTCCTTTAAAAAATATGTCGATTTTGGATGGTAGGTTATTTTATGGGCTTTTATTTCACCTGGCAAGTGACTTCCTTGGTTCATACAACACACTACTTCACATAATACAGTAGATAGACATTAAATTTGCATAGTTTGATAGGTCAACCCAAGAGATTTTGATATATTCAGAAAATTGTTCTTAAACGAAACACGACGAAGCAGAAGTAAGCAAACCAACCGTTGTCGTTTATGAACTTCTTTAAATTGGCTATAAATTTCTGTCATAACGTAGGTCTTGCAGAAAGTTTTTAACTTTCTTGTGCTTTGTGCTAGCAGTAGTTTATTTCAAAGTCTCATCAATTTATCATAATTGCTATACATTCTTACTCTGATGTTTTCTAGCTTTTAAGTCATCCAGACAGCAGCCCTCCCGAAACGCGTCTGCCAAGAATTATTCAGAGGTTGGTAATTATTTCATGATAAAAATCTAGCAATTCCTCTTTTTCTGTGGGTGTCATGCAGCTTTTTCCAGGCAGGCGGGGGAATACTACAAATTGCCATCTCGGTGCGTCTGAAGGGCATCCATTGAGCAAAGCTGATTTGCTACGTAGCAGACAGGGACACTTAACAACCCTGTTCCTCATTTAATTGCTGCAGTGATTCACTTAACGGTGGCGAGAAAAGTTGTAAAAGAGGCAAAACTCACTTAACAAAAGTCTCGCTCAGCAACAGAAATTTTGAACTTCGCTGTGGTTGTATGTCGAGGACTAGCTGTATTAAAAGTGCTGCTTTCTGGGCCTTTGCTCTGTCTCTTCCAGGTTATTGAAGATGATGATTCTGATATGGAAGTGTCCTTCACCTCTTCCTCTACAAATCGAAGGTGAGTAGAACCCGTTTCACCTTGACCTGTAGTTTGTCATTTATAAGAGGCCTGTCTAGGCATTTAGAGAAGCATGGGGTGAAATGGCTCCTTCCCACAAGATTAGGACACCCTAATGGGAACACTTTTCTTTGAGTAGAAGCGTGTCATGTCCACGGATGTTTGTGGTATTCAGAGGTGGTATTCAGCAGGTTCTGACCAGTTCTGGAGAACCGGTAGCGGAAATTTTGAGTAGTTCAGAGAACCGGTAAATACCACTTCTGACTGGCCCCAAACCCATCTATTCTCTGCCTCCCGAGTCCCAGCTGATCAGGAGGAAATGGAGATTTTGCAGTAACCTTCCCCTGGAGTGGGGTGGGAATGGAGATTTTACAGTATCCTTCCCCTGCCACGCCCACCAAGCCACATCCACAGAACCGGTAGTAAAAAATTTTTTTGAAACCCACCGTTGGTACAGATCACATTGTGACCCTATCCCAAGCTGCTTTGGGAACTTTTCTTAGGTTTCAAAAATATTTTCTCCTGTTCAGTGAAAGTTCTGATTCAGAAACACAGTCCAAAACCCTCCAAGTCAAAGTTATTTAAAGAACCATAATCATTTTACATTGTTACCGTTTGATATTTGTTCTGCATTTTGTCCTGCACCACTGAGCCATGGTGGCGCAGTGGTTAGAGTGCAGTACTGCAGGCTACTTCTGCTGACTGCCAGCTGCCAGCAGTTTGGCAGCTCGTGTCTCACCAGGCTCAAGGTTGACTCAGCCTTCCATCCTTCCAAGATCGGTAAAATGAGGACCCAGATTGTTGGGGACAATATGCCGACTCTGTAAAACCACTTAGCAAGGGCTATAAAGCACTGTGAAGCAGTACATAAATCTAAGTGCTACTGCTATTGCTATGTTATAACAGCGGTAAGCCATATGTGAGCTCACCACTTTATTTATTTATTTATTTTTTATGCCTCTTCTCTGTTCATTTAAAGTCAGCAATCCTGTGTCCAAAATTACTTCCAAGGGTATGGTTAGTCTTAATACGATTCTCATGCAAAAATGCTAACTGAAGTAGAGTAAAAAAAAAGATTTTTTTAAAAAACACCACTTTGATCTGGTTTCAGAATGCATTGAAATCAGGGGGACAGGCCTAAATCTACATAAGGCTCTGCTGTCAGGCCTTCTTGCAAGCAGTTGCTGGAAAGCTTCTGCCTTTCGTTTAATATCATCCTAATTTCTTTTCCACTGTAGAATGCAGTGAACAAACCCATAACGCATCATAAATTGGAATTCTAACTTCTTTGAGAAACAACAGTGTTTCTGATAGTGTGGCCCTGATCTGTGGGGAGTTTAGAGATAAGAGCCAACAATTGAAAACCGGGCTAGAAACAATTCAGAAACTTGTACAGTTAATAGCTGAATTCTAGTATCATGATTTCATTAACAGTGATAACGTCTCCTTCTTATAATACTTAGATTATCAACCACATCAACGCAAAGCCAAAGGAGCTCTCAGAGCCAAGCCTCAAAAGGTGTTTCCTTTGAATCGGATGAGGTATAAAATATTTCTTCCATCATGCTTCCTTTAATCATCATCATCTTCATTTAACGACCCCATAATCCCTTGCAGGGTGGAGTCTGGGCAACCGAATGGAGCTAGCAGAGTGTTTTAATGGTCGGATGCCCTTCCTGTCACCAATGCGGAGTTTTGTTTAGCAGATATATTCTCAGTGTGCCCAGAGAGAGAAGTATCTGCTTCTACATAGAATCGAACTCACAGCCTCCTGATTGTGAGGCGAGAGCTCCACCTCTAGGCCACCGCACCACTTCATCGTGCTTTCTTTCATCCATATGCAAAATGTTTGTGTGATATTTAGTGCTTCTTACATCTCTTTGCAATTCCTTACTCCCAATGAGGATCATAGCCAGTAACTCTGTAATAAAAGGTAGGACTAGCCCCACCTTCAGCCTCATTAAACCTCAGAGTTGTGTAAATTCTTTTTTTGTCTCTTAGAGTTTTCAACCTTGGTATGTTGTTTCCTCTGTCCATGAAGGCACAGATTCTTTGAAGCAGCAATAGCCATGGATAACTACCATGCTTTTCGGAATATAAGATGCAACCCCCCCCCCCCCAAAAAAAGATGGAAGTGTCTGTGCATCTTATGCCCCACCCACCTGCTGGTCCCCACCCATCGGCCTCTGCCTCCTAGCAATTTGCCTCCTTACAGCAAACAGCCTGGTCAGCTTCAGCACAGCCTGATTTAGCCCGAGCAGCTGATTGGTGGTTGGATCAGCCTCCCAGAATACAGCCTATCAGCTGTTCCAGACTGTGGGGATCGCCGCCGCCCATCGGTGGCCTCACTGCCCATCAGTGCTATCACCTATCGCCGCCTCCATGCGCCCATTTTCAGCTTCCGCACATCCCATTTTCGGCCTCCACATGCCCCATTTCCAGCTTCCGCGCACATGGGCTGAAAATGGGACACGCAAAGGCCAAAAATGGGGCTCACAGAGGCCAAAAACAGGATGCACGGAGGGCGAAAATGGGGCATGCAGAGGCGGCAATAGGTGACAGCAGCGATGGGCACCAGCGATCCCCGCAGCCTGGAACAGCTGATAGGAGGTATTCCGGGAGGCAGATCCAACTGCCAATCAGCTGCTCGTGCTAAATCAGGCTGTGCTGAAGCTGACCACGCTGTTTCCTGCAAGGAGGCAAATTGCTGGGAGACAGAGGCAGAGGCAGATTTTTTTTTCTTGTTTTCCTCCCCAAAAGCTAGGTGCGTCTTATACTCCTAAAAATACGGTATATCTACAGAGAAGCGGTCAGTTATTTTTTGGAGGGACACCTTTGCCCATATTTTAAATGATCCCACCATTCCATGTGAGATTGAGTCATATGTTGGTACATGATGTGTTTCCATGTGCTTTGCTATCAGCACTGAATTCAGTTATTTCATTGAAATTTTAAGTCCTCTGTTCTGTAAAAAACCCTGCCTACAGGAAATTCAAAGACTAGGAATTCCTAAATCGGTGTTTTTCAACTTAGGCAACTTTAAGATGTCTGGACTTCAATTCCCAGAATTCCCCAGCCAGCATGCCCTAGGAAGGAAGCAGTGGCAAAGCACTTCTGAAGAACTGCAGGGACTGTCCAGGCAATTTGTTAGAATTGGAAATAATTAACCAGAAAAAGAAGAGGAGAACCATAATAGGCGATTTATTTTGGCAGAAAATTAGAAAGTTGGCAATCTCTAAAAGCAGGAGGAAACCTTGAATGTTGGCTGTTGTTGCCAAGACTTACTTCTTGAAGTTGTGGGATAGTGGTAGCCCAGTGGTTAGAATGCAGTATTGCAGGCTGACTCTGCTCACTGCCAGGAGTTCGATCCTCACCGGCTCAAGATTGACTCAGCCTTCCATCCTTCTGAGGCTAGTAAAATGAGGACCCAGATTGCTGGGAACAATATGCTGACTTTGTAAATCGTTTAGAGAGGGCTGTAAAGCACTATGAAGTGGTATATAAGTCCAAGTCTATTGCTATGTTCCATAGGGAGAGAAGAAGATAGACTAGTCAGCGAAGAATCCAAATTCAAAACAATTTTTTAAAAAACTGTTTAGATCTCACTATGAATTGTCATAACACTGATACAGCTGATCCCTCCAAAGGGGATTAATCTCCTTAACCTTATAACATCTCAATGAAATGCCTGTCATTTAATTTACAGGATGAATTATTTCTTTCCACTTCGAGAAGAAAACGATGATAACCTCCGAATCCAAAGCATGGAAGGGAAGTGCAAAAATTACTTCTCCAAATTCTGCAAAGGAGCCCTGGGATGTTTGCACCTGGTTCTCCATAATTTTACTGTATTGTCTAGAAAGTGGTGGCTTCCTTGAAGAAGACCGCTTCCTTACTCTGTATCTGCAACACCACCAGGCGTGCGCGAATGTCCTGCTAAATGGTACGATCCAGAGTTCACTTGAGTGGAAATATATAAAAAGGAATATTCCCTCTTAGGGATGCCAGTTTTCACTGAGGTCTTCTTGCTGCTTAACCTTGTGATTCTTATAATCCGTCCAGAAGTGTGAAGTTAGGAAAATACTGGAGCTGTGTGAGAGAAAAGAGAATTCAGGAAAAACGGTCCCTTATTTCTCCCAACAAGGAGTCACCAAACTTCAGTCACTTTCTTACTCAGGGCAACCTCAAGTATACCTGAATGGAGATGGCTGTTTCTGTATCCAACACTTAAAGGAAAAGGAAATGTGTCACAGCATTTCTTTTCAAGGGCTCCTGTGTCTTTTTTCATTTTACAGAGGAATAAATTAGAACTAGTTGGGTAAGAGAACAAACTCCATTCCTGCATTCCATGTTTTACAAGTCTCCAACTTTCATAAGAGATTCAGTGCCCCGAGTCAAAACTGATTATGGGAGTCAGTGATTCAGTGAAATTAAATGCTTGGATATAAAACAGGAATTCCTTTTGACAAGAAGCTACTGTGAGGAAGATTTCAAAATATATATTTTTTAACTTTTAAAGTAACTCCTCATAATGGGGTACATATAATCCTTTCTGGGATTTTCAGAGGGACCTAGTTATAGTTTAATAAGTTGAAACGGAGCTGGTGTTGAAACGGAGCTGGCACAGAATAGTAAACTTGGCAATAATTTCATTGATATGCTCAGAAAGTAAAAATTGTGAGAAACTTTCAAGCAGACATAATTCCCCCCCCCTCCCGCTTATCTCAGTAGTTTCAAAAACAAAAATCAGTTTGAAAATACGTCCTTTAAAATAAGCTCATTCTGAATTTTCGTATGGGGCTTTAGTGTGGGATGAGGCCTTAAAACCATGTTGGCCTTGGAAATATTGTGCAAAGCAACATACTTTCCCATGGAAAGTCCATTCACTGTTGATCGCTATATTTTAAATTTATTCTACAAACCCTGGAAAAATGTATAAGGGATGTGAAATGTGTGATATGGAATAAAGTTTTCTGAGATGTTTGTTGTGATTTGCTTTAAACATTTAGAAATGTTGATTTGTACTGAATTTACCAGATATACCCATAGAGGCCGTTTATGTTGCATTAAGCAAAAAGAATAGTGAGAGTGATGGCGTAAATAGATTGATAAGAGGAGAATAGTTGTAGCTCAGGGTTGAAATGAGGGGCCTCTGCTGCTTTCTGAGTTTGGTTTTTTCCTTGCAGATGTTTTATTACCAAACTAGGTAATGATGTTACCTAGTTTGGTAATGAAATTATCTGCAAAAAAACACCTAACCTCAGAGCACCAAGAGCCCCTCATAAATAGGTTGCTTTGTGGTACCTTTTCTGATTTCCCATCCCACATTTTCTTGAAGGCTAATTTTCATGTCCTGATCTAAAATTTCCCTGGGTTTCCCCAAACTGTTTTTCTCTCTCGTTGCCCTTAATTCTGAGAATTTGATTCAGTAAGATTAGTTTTATGTAAAGTGCAGCCACAATGCATTTTTTAAAAAATGATGTCTTTTTTCTAAATGATTCCACTTTGGTGTCGCTCTAGATGCAGAAGCAGGAAATGTACAGTGGTACTGAAATGTTTGTGAACCCTTCTGAATTTTCAAAATTTCTGTAGAAATAAAACAAAAGAGAACCCAAATAAACAAATGAACAAACAACTTCCTACTTGTTCATTTATATTGAGGAAAATGATCCAAAGCTACATTCATATTTGTGTGGGGTAATATGTGAACCTTTGCTTCTAGTAACTATTCCCCCCCTACACACACACACACACACACACACACACACACGTGGGCTTTGGTAACTAAATATTTCTGCTACCTGTTGAATAGTTCTGCACATCAGCTTGGAGGGATTTCAGTCCATTTCTCAAGCATTATATGGGAGACTTACCAGAGTCATAGCTATGAGTGGGAAGTTAAGAATTATTCCTGAAGAGACCAATTGCAAACCTCTTCATTTCGTTCCAAGAAAACGAAGTCAACTTATTTTCCAAAGCACCAAAAGGCAAGGGAAGAAACAATGGAAACTAACCAAGGAGAGAAGCAACTTGGAATAAAGGAGAAACTTCCTAACAGCAAGGACAATTAACCAGTGGAACAGCTTGCCTTCAGAAATTGTGGGTGCTTCATCACTGGAGGTTTGATTCACTGTGAAGAGCCTTGGTGGTGCAGCAAACTAAAGCACTGTTAAGTAACACCAGCTGCCTGCAATTACTGCAAGTTCAAATCTCACCAGGCTCAAGGTTGACTCAGCCTTCCATCTTTTGAGGTAGGTAAAATGAGGACCCGGTTTGTGGGGCCAATAAGCTGACTTTGTATAAAAAAGAACACCGCTTAGGGGGCCCCGAAAGCCTTATTAAGCAGGTATATACAAAAGTATGAAGGCTATTGCTTAACACATTGTAAGCTGCCCTGAGTCTCCGGAAAAGGGCAGCATATAAATTGAACCAATTAATAAATAAATCAAACTTCTTTGAAGGAAGTTATTTCAGGAAGATGGCTCACCATCTACCACTACCCTGTAGTTACTAGGGGCCAAACTAACTCAAAGACACCCAATGTAAGTATCCAATAAATATATTCATGACAGAGACATGGAGGCAGTGGTGGGCTGCAGCCAGTTCAGACTGGTTCACACGAACCCGTAGGTCTAAAGATCAGTTGGCCCTATCCTGTCCTATATTTCCTTCTTTCTGGCTCTGCTGATTCGCACGACACAGCTGATTTCCGCACCTCCGCTGTTCTACTTACCGCGGCTGCCTTAGAAGGTAAGCAGCTGAGCTTCAATTTGCTGTGCGAAGCGCACGCTCACAGAACCGGTTGCAGCTCACCACTGCATGGAGGAATTCTATTTTTATTCCAATCTTAACTAGCACGCAAGATGTCTTGGATTGTATCTCCTAACCCTGTTGTCCAGCGTGGCAATGGTAGTTGCTATCTGATCCATTTAATGGGTCACGCGCTACCATCTCAGAAGGCTGGACGTTGCCTAGGATTTGTTCTCACTTCAGCAACAAAAGTGGGATCTGATTATATCGTGTGCACTGAGATTGTGTCCCAATTGGTTGCGAGCAAATCTGTGGCAGAAATGGGCGTTCCTCAGAAGGTCGGTTGTAGCATGGGATTAGTTCATTCATTAATTTAGCCTAGAATGATCTAGCTGTGGTTCTCCAATAATTTCAGACAAAGGCATTTCCATAAATGGGAATATCTGTAGCTCAGGGTTGAAATGAAGGGTCCTTGGTGCTCTCTGAGTTTATTTGTTTTCTTGCAGATGTTTCATTACCCAAACTAGGTAACATCATCAGTGGTAGTAGGGACCAAGCTCAGAGAGCATCAAGGACCCCTCAAAGGCATTTCACAACGTTTGTCTGAATCCTATCAAAGGGGCAAAAAGGGTACCAAGAAAATGTCCTCTTACAAAGAGCTGCCACTCCCTCTGAAAAAGTATTTTTCTCTAGTTGCATGGATTGGGGAATTGAGCCTCCAAACCTCTTAAAGCTTTTACACATTAATATATAGCCATTGTCAATCGAAAGGTCAGAAGTTCAGCGGTTTGAATCCCTAGTGCCGTGTAATGGGGTGAGCTCCCGTTACTTGTCCCAGCTTCTGCCACCCTAGCAGTTTGAAAGCACGTAAAAAATGGAAGGAGAAAAATAGGGACCACCTTTGGTGGGAAGGTAACAGCGTTCCTTGTGCCTTCGGCATTTAGTCATGCCGGCCACATGACCATGGAGACGTCTTCGGACAGCACTGGCTTTTCGGCTTTGAAACGGAGATGAGCACCGCCCCCTAGAGTCGGGAACGACTAGCACATATGTGCGAGGGGAACCTTTACCTTTAGCCATTTCTATACCAAATCTTTCTAATCAACAAAACCAAGATCAAAGTTTCATTTTGTTTTCTTCACAAGCACAGCTATCACAGAAGCGATAGCCAAACAAGAACAGAGTAAGAGCAAAATAAGAACAAAAAGTTGAGGCTGGAGTGTGTTACCTTGTACTGTTCTAGGAAGGGTTGGAAGTCAATACCCCCTTTTCTTCTTTCCCCTTGTATTTCACACCCCCTTTTCCCACCCTTAATTTCCTTTTTTTTTAAATTTTATATTTTATATAACAAAATAAAAATGTTTACAAGCCTCTTAAAGCCAGTTGCTTTATTCTCTCCTTCCCCGTCACGCCCTAATGCTAGTCATCACAGCTCCTTAAAGATTTCTTGCCGATAAGAATTTTCTAAACTGTTGTGCATAATGATTCTAAAATGATCCCAATACAACTCAGTGTGAGCAGCTGGGTCGAGCCAGTCAAAATGAAGCATTGAAACATCTTGGTATTAAATAACAATTTTATTACAGCCACACTACGTACACAGTTACACTATGATTACCACAGTTTTGTTCCCAAGTAATTTCTCACATCTTACACTACGTGGCCGATCATCCTGCAGGTATTCCATGCAAAAGCTACTCTGCAAAAATGAACATAACCGCATCATGCAGGAACAAATACAATGACTCAATGGAACCTTTATCTAGGTCAGAAGTCTTCAAACATGGCAGCTTTAAGACTTGCCGACTTCAACTGCCAGAATTCTCCAGCCAGCTATGCTGCCAATTGCTGGCACTGCCCGTCCAATGTAAACGAAGATTCTCTTTAGGCATCTACAGCCTTAAGACTTTTAAACAATATATAGGAACTGGAGTCAAATCTGTTTCCCCATGCAAAACTCTTTACAGTTGCTTCCATTTTTATATTACATACGAGAGGAAATGCAAAGACATTGTGCATTTTCCTTGATTTTCTGTTTTTAATTCATATCGCCTCTGAATGCTGTACAACTAGCAGACCTAGTTTTAAACTTATCATAAGACTTCCGTCCAATTCTTATAAAATCGACCGATTTGAAAGGTCTACGAAGAGCCACCAGTAACTCTTTTTTTCCAGAATACTTTCTTGAAACTTCACAATTCTTCGAAAACTCTCGTAGTTGCTGGCAGCCTTGATAAAAGACCTCAATTCTTTTGAAGAACTTGGAAATTCTTTGCCATTAATTTCCCACTTGTTCCTGGTAATAGTTACTTGTGAGTATTCCTCTTTATGCTGGACTACATCCAAGACGTAATCTACGATTTCAAGCTTAGTTCTTGTGGTTATTTCTGCACAGAAATGTGGAGGTGGCTAAGATTTCGTACCGTTCACATTTAGTTTTGCGCCAGTTATAATTTTCGACATTGTTTCTTTGAGAAGAAATGCAGAAGTAAAAGATGGCGCCTGGTTTGAGAAGATACGCAGAGCCTGAGATAATGAACATCTGTACTTTTCGGTTTGCAGTTCTTCTAAGTTTCCCACGATTTGTCCTTGAACTTGCAATATGATAAATTATCTATCATTTGCTGCCTCGTTAGAATGGCAGCCTCCAAGAAAATGGGATATGGATGTTTGGATGATTTTGAAGTTCTTTTGAAGTCTCATGAAATAATCCACATCACCCATCATCTGCATGGGTGCCTCAGAATTATTCCTCTATTGGAATTCAGTCCTTGGGGTGAAAGGGAAAAAAAATTGCACCCAAACAGAGCCTGAGAAAGTTGGATAAAAACTTTTGAATGCAGAAAGGTGATATTTAAGGCGGTCTTTACAGAATGTGTTGAGATGCACATTGAAGTATCTTTTTCGGAAATGGACAATTTTCTGCATTTTTAAAAAGCTTTTTTCAACACTAAAGAACATAGATAGTCGAAGAACTTATCCAAAATACCTCAGGTAAGGATCTTGTTCCTGTTTCTAGGCACTGTCACAGCTCCTTTATATGAGTGGTTGTAATAAAGGAGGAATCGCTTCATTATACAGTATTTATCTGAAAAGAAGATTTGTTTTTGTCCTTAATTTATCTTTAAAATGTTAGCTCATCTTGGAATAGATGAAAATGTAGTAATAGAGCCTTCCTTTTATTATAGAAGGTAGACTGGAGTGTAAGGGACCATCTTAAATTTGGAATCATCCATTTGGCCACATGAGATAATAATACAGAACTGATTTTGAAAATGCTAAGGAGAGTTGCAGCTGATTAGTTGCTCCTGTAAGTTTGCCAAAATAAAAATAAATAAATAAAAAATCACATAGCTGAGTACTTGATCTAGAACTTGGAAAAACACCTGAGAAGGTGACACAAGTAAACTATTTCCATCTTGTGAAGAAAAGTGCACTGGTGAATTTATTAAGAATTAAGGAGACTTCTACCTTTGATATATTTCATTCAGGTAAAGACAATATTTTGCTGGTGCATAAGTTGGTCTCCATAAGCAATTGAAATAACTTTTTTTTCTAGGTTTACTTGTACAAATCAACCTACATTGTAGAAGAGTTCAAAGTCTTCTTAAGAGTGGAGAGGTATCCAAAGCCTGTTATTTTTCTATTTGTACAGGCTACTCCTCTACATGTCTTGGTCCAAAAGTTTCAAACATTCTCCCACCAGTTCTAGTTGCTTAATATTTTGGTTTTTGTGTATATAACAGTGAAGTACAGCCATGAAGTAGAAAAACCAGGCAGGCAATCTCAAGATAAGATTCAAGGAAGAGTTTCCATTTTTTTCTTGGTATTCTGTTCCACTATCCTGAAGCTACTAATTTTTAAGATAGTTCTATAGCTGGTGGTATTAACAGAATATACCATGTTGCATAGAAACACTGGAATTTCAAAGGTTGTTGATAGTACCATGTCCAGCTCCTGACAACAACAGGATTAATGAGAGGGATAATAGGCATTCATCTACTTGTAGATAGTCACCAACTCTCCATCTCTGAACTGTAAAAATCTCATGGAAGACAGGCACAAGTGAGAGGTATAACTGATACTTTAGCCACAGAACTACTTGTAAAGAACCTTGTTTGCTTCCATAGTTTTATTCAAAGTGGTATAGACCAAAGAATATAATACTTCACTTACTTACATGATGAGTATTTGTGATATCACTATTACGTTGCCAACTGTTGTATTGATTATTGTTCTGGGCACTCTGTTAAGGCTGAAGTACTGAATTTGAAAGAAAAGAAAGAGAATATTTCAGATTGGTTCCATAGATGTGTAGACATCAGTTTCATATTATTCAGTATCTTCAGCCATCCCTCCCTAATGAGAATTGACATCGTTCACCTCATCAGTGTCTCTCTAGGCATACTATTCATGTAAACTGTAGACATGTAAACACAGACAGCTCAATTATTTTCAAACAAGTATTTGCCTTTCTGTCCCAGGTCCTTGTAAACAGTGGGTAGGCAATCATGTGATGTAATAGAGATGACTTTATGCCTCAGCTGTTCGAAATGGCTTTCAGCACCTATCAACCACAGGCTGAATCCATCAACAAGAAGAATCTAGAAGTCTCTGGCGAATCTTGCCGTCTTTACTTGTTCCTTCAGTATCATCAGGCAATTTTGGCTCATTCAGATCTGTGGAAAGGCCAGAAAGAAACTTGTTATATCCTTTTAATTAAAGCACTTCCATAGAGTAATCTGCTTTTATTTTATTTCATGGCTCTATAAGCACGACTAAAGAAAATTAAGTCTAGGCTGAGATGTAATAACCAATCCTGGAATATATATGACTTGAGAGAGAAAGGATGGGTGATTAAGACCAATATTAAGGCTGTTTTTTTTTTAAATGCCAGACATTTAACCAGGTAAGTCTAAATTATAGTGATATAAACCAGAATGATATCTTTAAGATGTGTAGGCAGGCTGCCTGGAGACTTCTGGTAGTTGAAGTCCACATATCTAAAAGTTGCCAAGTTTGAAAGACACCAATGTCAATCAATTCAGTCAATTAAATTAAGATCCATTGATTTCAGGAAGTCTATTAGAAGTGTTGCTATGCCTGACTTAAACCCATAGGGTCACTTTTAAACTCAGCTGGGTTTGCTTTCACAGATGGTACAAAATATGTTTTGATTTGGATTTTTATACATATTTTATATCGTTTGTGCTTCTCCCAAGACCACTGTATTCAATATGAATGAATGGTTAAGGCTGTTAAAAAATAACACCCTTTTTTAAAATGCCAGCTAGTTTTTTAATGAAACATGCATCATTTGAAACCAGATTGGGAACCTGTCATGAGAACTAATTCGATCAGGAAAAGTTTATAATATACCATCATCATATATGTATTTTAATAAATAATCTGAAAGGTGTCAATACGATTACAGACTTAAATTAGATTTATCAATATGAAAGCAGCAGAATTGTTTTGATGTTTAAAAAAGTGATCTTATGGTATAAGAAAACCAATATTTTAAAGCAAAATTTCAATAAGCCATCTTTATTTTCTACTGTCTTGGCATTACATGAAAAGATAGCCTATGTTTGGTGTTATTGTTAGTAAATGAAATATTATGTATTCTGAAGTCAGTATATTAGTGGATGCTATTTATAGGTATTTGTCTCTTCTCCCTTTTATCTATCTATTTTTTCTGTCTGCCTGTGCACCTGCTACCTGCCTATAATATTCTAATGCATCATTCAAATAAAAACATGTCCTTATTAAACTTCAGACTAAAATTGGGGTTAATACAATTGAGATTATTAAAACAATGCCTAGGAAATTTTATTATTACTAATGTCTCTATGCCCCTTCAATAATGTGAGTGATCAAGCTTTGCTTGATCCAAAGCTTTAAAGCCCAAACATTCCCATAAACAATATTAGCAAATAAGTCATTCTTCTGCAAATCTGCTATGACACAATGCTGTTGTGATCGTTCTATTCCCAGTATAATATTTTAACGTTTGCGAACGTGTAGTGGAGTAACAGCAAATTACAACCTGCCTCAGCGACAGCAAACCTTTTGGTCTCAGTGTGCAAAAATTTGGAAAATGTCTAACTAGACTCTGCTGGCATCTCATCCCCTTCCCACCTGACCACAAACAAAAGAGAAACAATTCTTTATCTAACTCCGTGATGGTGAACCTGTGGCAAGCGTGCCACAGGTGGCACGCAGAGCCCTATCTGCAGTCACGTGAGCTGCTGCCCCAGCTCAGCTCTGCCACGCATTCCCACACGCCTCCCACCGGCCAGCTGGTTTTTGAGTCTCTGCCCCACATGCGCGGGGGGCAGGGCGCGTGCAGGAGTCAAAAGTGCATACGCATGAGAGTCGTTCACAGGGTGTTGTGCGCGTATGCGCAGGGGTGGAGTACACATGGGGACGTGCATGCATTGCATTATGGGTGTACGCACATGCTTTCGGCACCAAAAAGGTTAGCCATCACTGATCTAACTCCTCTCCCCAATCTAGGACACCCTGAACAGCAGCCCTTGGTATCACGTGTTGGTAATTGCTAATGTGTCACCAAAATGTCAATGTGGGTCATAGGTACACCACCACTGAGTTACCTAAACGAAGGGAAAAAAAATAAAAGCAGAGGAAGATAGTGTTACCTTTCAATTCTGCCGCATCATTGGACATTTCCACTTCTGCTTTTTTCCTATTCTCCTTGTGGGTGGTGTTTGGCTTGGCATCCATGGCGTCCATTTTAATCGAGCCAAGGTTCCTCAGGAGCTGCATGGCATCAAACCTCTCCCCGCTGCCTTTGAGGCTCTCCAGGACTTTGAGGCACTTGTAAGATTTCAGCTCGCTCACGTTTTCCTCCAGAAAAAGCAGGTAGAGGCTCATGTCGTTATAGTGTTTCGCTTTGACTTTGAGAACGTCAAATGTCGGCAGAAGCTCGTAGACCTGAAGGATGTCCGAGCTCTGCCTGAGAGGGACGAAGAAGGCATAGATCACCAACGGTGTGATCAGCACGTAGACGATGAAATTGATATAACTCAGCAGCTGGAAGACACCGACGGCAATCATTTTGCACTGAAATCGTTCTGGAATGTTCGTGTCATTTTTTAGTATCCCAGTTTTGACGTTGCAAATGAATTCATCGGTCAGGGAGGAAAGACTGATATAGTATCCCAGGAAGAGGCAAGCAAAGAGGATAATGATTAAAGTTAGCAAACGGCAAATAATGTATTTGATGATTAAGTTCTTGGAGCCCTTCTTCGTCTTCAGATATTGTTCCACAATAGGGTATTTAAAGTGGCTGTCGGAGATCTCCCATAAACTGGAAAAAAAAAAAAAAGCGAATTTCCAGGAATGTTATATCAGGATTTCACTTGCTTTAGAAATTTTTTAGTATCCAATACCTCAACATTCCCAGGTTCCTGTTTTCGTCTCCCTCCTGTTTCAATGTATTTTTCAACACTTCAAAATAAATTAAAGTTGGGAATAATTAGCAATTCTCCAAAATTTAATCATGATTAAAACAATACAAGTAGGCCTCGACATACGACCGTCATGGAACCAGCCCATTATGGTTGTGTGTTGCAATGGTTATCAAATGGGTCGATCATGGGACCGACCTGATTTTATGTCCTTTTTGCAGTAGTCATAAAACGAATACGGCAGTTGTTAAATGAATGACATGGCAGTTAAGTGAACCCACTGTCCACTATGGCATGGTTTTGCACACCACAATACAAAATAGATGTTGAGGCTCTGGAAACAGTGCAGAGAAGAGCAACAAAAATGATTAGTGGGCTGAAGGCTAAAATGGATGAAGAACGGTTACAGGAACTGGGCTTGTCTAGTCTAATGAAAATAAGGAATAGGAGGGACATGATAGCAGAACTCCAATATTTGAGGGGCTCCTGCAAAGATGTGGGGTGTCTGTGTCAAACTATTTTCCAAAGCACCTGAAGGCAACACAAGAAGCAATGGTTGAAAACTAACCAAAGAGAGAAGCAACCTAGAACCCAGGAGAAATTTCCTAAGGGTGAGAGCAATTAACCAATGGAATAACTTGCCTTCAGAAATGGCAGGTGCTCCATCACTGAAGGCTTTCAAAAAGAGACTGGACAACCATTTGTCTGAAATTATATAGGGTCTCCTGACTGAGCAGGGGGTTGGACTAGAAGACCTCGGAGGTCCCTTCCAACTCTATTATTCTATGTTCGATAAATAGAGATCCTGTGACTGTGGGATGCAACAAACAGCTGTAAATGTTACCATTTTGCTGAGTGTCCCAAAAGTAATCATGTGATTAAGGGTGGGCCAATATTGGGACATAACTCCCCTGTTTCGGATAGGTCACAACTTTGAGGTCTTATCGGTAATTGAATGTAAAAGAAAATGCTCAGAAGAACGCTTCTATACTATTGTATAGATCAGTGTTGGTGAAGCTTTTCGGCACCAAGTGCCAAAACGGGAGTGCGCGCAGGGGCACACATGCAAGAAACCGGAAGAGCAGCTGCCTGGCGCGCATGCGCATATCAGAAAGATGATCTTCCGGTTTCTGGTGCGCATGCATGCACAAAAATCAGCTGCCCGGTGAGCATGCACATCCCAGAAACTGGAAGAGCAGCTGCCAGGTGCACATGCGCACGCCGGGAAGATGATCTTCTGGTTTTCAGCGCGTGCATGTGCACCGGCCATCTGGTTTTCCGGTTTCTGGCATGCATGCATGTGTGAAGACCAGCTGGCCAGTGTGCATGTGTGCGCTGGAAACCAGAAGATCATCTTCCCGGTATGCGCATGTGCACCGGGCAGCTGCTCTTCCAATTTCCGGCACTCCTGTGTGAGTGAAGACCAGCTGGCTGGCACTCTGGAACCCGGAAAAGCAACAGGCGATGGCTCGCGTGCCCAGAGAGATGGCTCTGTGTGCCACTTCCGGCATGCGTGCCATAGGTTCATTATCATGGCAGTGGGGAAATCCAAATATTTTACTACCGGTTTTGTAGGCGTGGCTTGATGGGTGTGGCATGGCTTGGTGGGCGTGGCAGGGGAAGGATACTGCAAAATCTCCATTCCCACCCCACTCCAGGGGAAGGATATTGCAAAATCTTCATTCCCACCCCACTCTGGGGCTAGCCAGAGGTGGTATTTGCCAATTCTCTGAACTACTCAAAATTTCCGCTGCCGGTTCTCCGAACTACTTAAAATTTCTGCTACCAGTTCTCCAGAACCTGTCAGAACCTGCTGGATTTCACCTCTGCATCATGGGTATATGTAGTCCTCGACTTACAACTATTCATTTAGTGACTGTTCAAAATTACATTGGCACTGAAAAAGTGACTTATGACCATTTTTCATATCTCCAACTCCAACTGTTGGTGCATCTTCGTGTTCACATGATCAAAATTCAGATCCTTGGCAAAACTGGCATATATTTATAATGGTTGCAGAGTCCCAGGGACATGTGGCAAAACGAAGTAAATGGGGAAGCCAGATTCACTTTGTGGTCACTCAGTTGTGGTTGTAAGTCGAAGACTACCTGTATAGTACAGGACTGGTTTCAAATCAAAAGACACAGCAACATCAGTTTAATTGAACCTCTGGATAAACAAATGTGTTTTGTTTGTGTGAATCTACCATGGCACACCCATGACAGTTTCATGCCATCTGAAATTCCAACTCATTATGATGACTTACACTTTTAATAGAGAGTGCTTATAATGAGGACTACTCAGAAATAGTTAACATTCTGCCGTAAGCTGCCTTGGGTTTAATTTGATTAAGTGACAGAACATTAATCACTACTCCTTATCCTCACCTGTAGATATCCTCCAAATCAGTGTTTCTCAATCTTGGTAGCTTGAAGACCTATCTTCAAGCTTCCAAGGTTGAGAAACACTGCTCCAAATGAATAGGGAGGGGTGTTTTGAAAGGGAAGATTAAACATGAATATTCATCAAATACACAATGAACAGCCATTGCCCATTAGGGAATTAACTGAAGTAAATGCACAGAAGTCACACTGAGGCAGCGTTTGTCATCCTTGGCAAGCTTAAGATGGGTGGACTTCAGTTCCAACCCAGCCATGTTAAAGTCCACCTATCTTAAACTTGCCAAGGTTGAGCAACGCTGCTCTAAGTTTTCTACTTCATATCTAAAGTCAACTTTCGAAACGACTCTAGCTGAAGCCATATTTTTCTTGCTTCGTTTCTTAGTTGCCACACTTATGGCGGGGTGAGGGGGGGCTTATGGAATGTAGGATGTTTTCCTCCAAGGTTCCAGACATAACAATGATAAGGCTCTTGAGAACCAAGGTCAACTGAACGTGCCCTAGCAAGGGCAGGAGGGAGTGCTGAGAAGTTCATCACCTGCTTGGTTGGCTAACGTGACTTGTGACACAAAGGGGATGAATAGTATCTATTCTTTCATTATACCAAAAACGTGGGAATTATTCACTGTTGGTGTCACCTTTGACCGTGCTGATATAACCAATAAACCGGATTTTTGAGGAGGCCAAGTCCTCAGAGTCTTGAATTGGTTGGGAGCGTTACTCGGAACCATGAAGCATTAAACTGAATAATTCCATGTTTTTGGTATAATTAACATGACAACATGATGACTCCAATGCCAAAATCTATGAACTGATGTCCACTTCCTTTGTAGGGCAGAGGGGCCAGTTTGTTGTGGCCAAAAAGTTGCACTTCCTTAATGTGGTGGACTTGTTTTGTTTTGAGGGCTACAGGTGGCAAGACTGTTGACATCACCACAGTGGGTGGGTGGGCTTAGCATTAGGGGACGGACGAACAATTATAAGGTTTAAAGTAGCAACCAAAGAGTTGGAAGTCATAGGATAAATTTGTTTGATTTGGGAGAAGAGGCTAGTGGGAACAACCAGTATTAAAACCCATTGTAAGACTCGTTTTCTCCTTGAAATCCCTAAAAGTCCACCAACAAACTTTTTTTAAAAAACCTACCACATGACCACATGATGTCAGACCTGGAAGCCATCTTTTTACTTTTGTGCCTTCAGGCTTCAGGCCTGCCACTTTCTACTGTGGGAAAATGGGAGGGGGGATTGTATAGAGTGAAGAAGATATGTAGTCAAAATAGAATTCTTTTAGAAAGTCAAGGCCATTGTGCCCTGCAGCTGTGCTGAGAAGACTGGGGAAGTATCTTCTGTTCCAGAGAGTACACGATTGGTTCATGTGATGGACATGTGGGTGAGGGGCAAGGATTTGAACTTTCTCTTGGGTGAGGAAAACCTGGAAGCTTTCAGATTCGGGTTTTCCCAGATGTGCCAATATGACATCTCTATTAAAAGTTAGCTTTGAGGAACTTCAAGCCTCCAAGTTTGATTTCGTTGGGGGTGGTACTTGGAACCCTGACATATGAGATGAATAAAAGAAGAATTAAATGTATTTAATTCTTTAATTTAACTTAATGTAGCATAGATATGTAAATAGCAAGCTAAATTTAAATAAGGGAATATTAGATATAAGATTAACAAATGCAAGATGCAGTATGATAAACCAAATTAAAGCTGTAGTATGATGATATGTAATGTTATTTAGAAACTGTAGATATATGGGGATTGAATCAACCTCAGTCGTATGTATGTGATTGTGTTTCGTTATAGTCTTTATTCTGTTTTATGTTTCTAATTTATAATAAAATTTTATTAAAAAAAAAATTAAAAAAAGACACTTCAACCGAAGTCCCACAGAGGATGTCGCCTAGCCTGGTGATGAAAAGTTTGGAAGCTAAGCAGCAAGCCCAGAGAACAAACCACCATCAACACTGAAAACGTTGACCTACCATCTCGTGGCTGTTCTGAGAGGGTTATATAAAGGGATGTCCATGACTCCCCATTTCCCATCTTTATAACAGGACAATGTGGTCTTTGAGGTGATGGACAAGAGGTGCCATCCAAGACAGCCATGATGGGGTCAGACACAAAGCTTCTAGATCAGTGTTTCCTAACCTTAGGTGTTTTGAGAAGGTGTGGGAGTCAGGGTCAGCATCAAGGCAACCTGAGAGCTCTGAGGGGGAAGAGGGAATGGAGCTGGCACAGAGAGAGACAGAAGTGAAGCCTGGGCCATCCGCCAGCCCTCAGATGGAGAGTCAACAGCCTCCAGGTCTGGAGGTGGCTGATGAGGAAGAGGAGAAACAGCTGGGTCCAGTGCCTGATGCACGAATGTGCAGAAGGCAGAGAGAGGAGAGCAGTGGAAAGCCTTGGGCCGTGTGGACTTCAACTCCCAGAATACCTCAGCAAACACTATTCTAGATGATGCAGGATGTCCAAAATTTATCCAGTTCTTCCAAAAAAAAATCTTACTTCCCTTGTCGGGCTAGTGGAAGACCTACTCAGCTCCTTCACCATCCTTGAAGCAAAAGTTCAACCAGGCTGTGTGATGATAAGCTTGTCCTCCAGCAGAGGAGAACACGGTGGGCAAAGAAAGGTAAATCTGAAGAAAACTGGAAAAGCAGATAGAGACGTTACCTCTGTGCAATATTTTCAATGGCAGGCGGGGAGCTGGCTGCGTCTCTGGCATCGCAGTTCCGGCAACTGTTGGCAGCTTTGATGGCTCGGTTGTAAGCCTTGTCAAGTTCTTCCAAGATAAATTTCAGATCCGAAGAAAGGTGGGGCGCTGCGGTGAAACGCCAAAAGAGCCACGGCAGGTAAAGCAAGATGGCAAGCAGCAGAAGGATGTACGGGAAAAACTGAAGGAGAAAAATCAGGAGAAAGAACCTTCAACCAGGACTCAAATTCAGGCTGGCACAAATCAAGGAATTTTATTGTGGTCATTCACCAGCAGATCAGACAAGAAACTCCAAATGCTCTGACATCTTACAGGTGGGGAATGTATGCACTGTCTATGATTTGGGTTAGACCTCCTGGCTAAGAATTCTGGGTTCTGTAGTCCCATATGTAAACAACGGCAGTTTATGGGACTACAGAGAGTCATTGACTTATGACCAAAAGGGAGCCTGTCCATTATGGTCATAAGTCATGATGGTTGTAAAGCAGGTAACCCGCATGAGTGACCCCATTTTACAACCTTTTTTTTGCAGGGGCCATTAAAAAAATAGCTGCGGTCATTAAGCAAATACACGGTCATTAATCAAACCGTTAATACCGCTGGTCTTCAACTTACGACCCCAACGGAGACCAAAATTTGTTGTGAAGTGAGACATTTGTTAAGTGAATTGGCCTCACTTTACAACTTTTCTTGTGACTCTTGTTAAGTGACTCACTGCAGTTGTTAAGTTAGGAATACAGTGGTTAAGTAAATCTGGCTTTCCCATGGACTTTCCTCGTCAGAGGTTCACATAATCCCTGCACACCGCAACAGTCATAAATATGAACCCAGTTGCCAAGCATCTGAATTTTAATCACACGATCAAAAGGTCGTACTGTGGAACTACAAAGGTCGTAACTGTGAAAAACAGTAACAAGCCACATTTTTCAGTGCTGTTGTAACTTTGAACAGTCACTAAATGAACTGTTGTAAGTCGAGGACTACTTGTATAAGGTGCTTTTGCCAAAATCCAGAAGTAAATGCTGGATTTGGGCCAAAGTGTCATAAATTGTGATTATGTGACTGCAGGATGCGGCAAACAGCCATGAATGCAGGTCAACTGCCGAGCACCCGAAATGGGGTCATGTGACTGTAGGGTAGGGAGGGTGAGGCCATCGGAACTTCAGGGTCCTAAGTACATTTTGGGGGAATCCATCCTAACTTTGAATGGTTTGTTATGCGATTGGTCATAAGTGAAGGACTATGTGTAAGTATCAAGTCAATATAATGTGGTTAGTTTTTAGAGGCGAAGCTTATAGTTAGTATGTATTAAAAAGTATGTTATCTGTTAGGAACTTGGAATCTTGTCACTTATGCAACTTGGCATCCTGTGTATATAATTCATTTTCATTTTCTCTAGAAAGAGAATGAATTATAGGAGTTGCAGTCTAATGCATCTAGAATTGCTAGATAGACATATTTCAAGGTAAGCATTAATATTGATTTTACATTTTGTTAGATCTTTATCTTGCCCTGCATCAGGAACAAAAGCTGGTGTTAAATAACACTCCCTTCTTCTCTCCTTCTAGTCTGCATTGAATATTTGTTTCACAGTCCTCAGCAATCTTGAGTGGATGTGATTCAGGAAAATAACTTTAAATATTTATATGTAAAGAGCTGAAACATCTTCTGGATCAGGGAGCTTTGTTTACAGTCATTTGTGCTTTACTCTAGGTTGGACTGCTAAAGTGCATTCTACATGGGGCTACCTTTGAAGGCATTCAGAAATGATAACTGTCTAGACCAGGGGTCTCCAACCTTGGCAACTTTAAGATTTGTGGACTTCAACTTTCAAACTTTAGGAGTTTAAAGTCCACAAGTCTTAAAGTTGCCAAGGTTGGAGACCCCTGGTCTAGAATGCAGATGGCTGAGTAATCATGGGTTCTCCTTGTTGCAACCACATAACACTGCTATTTTGGGAGCTACACTGGTCAATAGCCAGCTTCTGGGTATAATTCAAATATGAGAGCTAGCATTTTTAAAGTGCACGAGTGAGGCCATCCTTGGAATGCTCCATGCAGTTCTGATCATCAAGATACAAAACAGACAATGATTCCCTGGAAAGTGTGCAGAGAAGAGATACCAAGATAATTAGGGGACTGGAGGCTAAAACATATGAAGAAAGGTTATGGGAACTGGGCATGGCTAGTCTAATGAAGAGAAGGACCAGGAGAGACACGATAGCAGTTTTTTTAAAAAAAATTCTGTTTTGTTTTCATCCAAGGAGGTAGTACTGTGCACTGCACATAGTTAGTTATGACTCAGCAGCCTATATGTGCCTCAGAATAAATAAAAATGTTTAAAATAAAATTTAACACCACCATTTGTAAATTAAAAGGGCTCATTTCATCAGAACGTATGAGCCAAGGGTTTACATAACTTCAAGATGTGTGGACTTCAACTCTCTGAATTCCGTAACCAGCACAAAATAGAGGGTGTTTGTATCCTTAGCCTTCTCAGAATTGGGTTTAAAATAAGGAGGAGAGAGAAAAAGAGAGAGAGAAATGAAGCAGAGAACTATGTGGTTATTCAAACCTTATGAAGCCACAGGGGGAGATGCCCTGATTCACTCTGAGACAGCTGCTTCTGTTGAACTGCAGCCCAGCAATAGGAATCCACGTATGCAGCCTGACGCCAAGAAAATGCACTTGGAGAAAAACAGCTCATCTGGGTACCTAAGAATCAAAGCAGGAGGCATTGCCAAAAAAGGGTTACCAAAGACAGAAGAAATATTGAGAATAATGCATACCATGTTTCCCCGAAAATAAGACCCTGCCTTATATTTTTTTGAACCCCGAAATAAGTGCTTGGCCTTGTTTTCGGGGAGGTCTTATTATAGAGCAAGATGGGGCTTCTCTTGCCGTCTTACCTGATTTCCAGCTCTGTCTCCCTAATCCTAACCAGAGGAAATGGCAGGGACCAGCTGTGCATGCGTTTAAATATTTTTGGGTGGGGCTTATTTTGGGGGGGGGCTTATTTTAGCGCATGCACTCAAAAGCCTGATTGGGCTTATTATCAGGGATGTCTTATTTTCAGGGAAACAGGGTAGATGCAATAGAATCAAATAGAGCCATTTTCTGCAGATATTATGGGCACATCAGAATGCAGGATGTGTTCTTTTGCACCTACAAGCTATTTTTTATTCTGGGTAGAGAATTCAATGCCACGGAAGACCCAAAGGTGCTTTTTCTGGAGGCAACTGGACTTTCTTGTTTTTTTCTTTGAAGACATTTTGCTTCTCATCCCAGAAGCTTCTTCAGCTCTGGGATGGGTGGTGGGGAATGGAAGGATTTATATTCCTTGCAGACAGCTGGTCATTTGCATCCTTTTAGAAAGCCGTTGAGGCCACTTGGAGGTTGATCTGTGTCCTCAGGGTCACCTGAGTGGTGCTCCTGGTTCCTGGCCCTGAAGAAGCTTCTTGGATGAGAAGCGAAATGTCTTCAAAGAAAAAAACAAGAAAATCCAGTTGCCGCCAGAAAAAGCACCTTTGGGACAACCATGACCTGGATGACTGAGAATCTCTACAGGCTTTTATCAAGGGAGGAAAGCAGCATATCCAAAGATATAGAGATGGTCCTCACCTTACAACTGGTTGCTTAGTGAAATTATTCCCCTCCCCCTAAGGCACTTATGACCGGGTTCTGAAGTTCCAAGACCCCATTCATCCACCCCCACAGTCACTGGACTGCTGCGATTTGGGCACTTGGCAACCAACCCAGACTTACAACTATGTGCAGTGTCCTGTAGTCACATAATGATAATTTATTATTTTGCTGGAAACCAGTATTTACTTTCAGTGTTTAGCCAAAAACAAAAAATAAAAAAGGTATCTAGAAACCAATGGTTTGCTTAACGACTGTGGTGTTTGATTAACGACTCCCACAAAAAAAGGCCGTAAAATTGAGTTGGTCACATGATGACCATCACGACTTATAGCCATGGTGAATAAGCTCCATTAGGGTCATAAATCATGGGATTACTTAGTAAAGGTAGAGGTTCCCCTCGCACATATATGCTAGTCGTTCCCAACTCTAGGGAGCGGTGCTCATCTCCATTTCAAAGCCAAAGAGGCAGCGCTGTCCGAAGACGTCTCCGTGGTCATGTGGCCGGCATGACTAAACGCCAAAGGCGCACGGAACGCTGTTACCTTCCCACCAAAGTGGTCCCTATTTTTCTACTTGCATTTTTTTACATGCTTTCAAACTGCTAGGTTGGCAGAAGCTGGGACAAGTAACGGGAGCTCACCCCGTTACGTGGTACAAGGGATCAGAATCGCTGAACTGCTGAGCTTTCGATTGACAAGCTCAGCGTCTTAGCCACTGAGCCACTGCGTCCCTTAGGGATTACTTATATATGAGTAAATAAATAAACTAAGGAGAATTAATAAGGAAGTAATGTAGATTCTATTGGCCCAACAAGGTGAACCAGAGAAACTAATGTCGCATAGATCAGGACTATTTTGATTGCAAAAGCTATGCAACTATCTTGCACCCCTGAATGTGCTTCTCCCTCCTTCACTTTACCTCTAATGTGAACTAGGGAGTGGCTTGTCTGAGAGGTTTCCTCACATTATTTTTTTTTTTGCCTGGGTTCAAGCCTCTCTTATCTGACCATTGCTTTGGTAGTCACTCTTCTTCCTGTCCCTCAAGGCCATTCTCTATGTCCTCTCCAGATTTTTGGACTTCCCTCCTAAGACGTTAATAAAAAACCACAAGGAATCAGCATCACAGCTGCATTACTTAAATCATGTTATATTGTTCTCTATTTTCCCACCATTCAAAGGGAATTCCCAAATCACTAGGAATTATGGAATTGTAATCTAACAAATCTGGAGATAAGTAAACTCTTACACATTTTTTGAGTTGGGGTTCCAACTCGAGCCAGGGCGATACAAGAATAAATAAAAATAAGAGCCAAACAGCTGTGAGGAAAGAAGAAATATTTATTCCTAAAAGCAAAACATTTTGTTTTGGGGGGCAGGCTGCAGAGAAATGGGGTACAGTGGCAAACTTTTATAGGGGGAGCTTGTCTGCGGTGTGGAAGTGTCTACGTGTTGAGGGGCGTGCATCAGAAGTGGTATTCAGCTGGTTCATACCAGTTCGTGCGAACTGGTAGCAGAAATCCGCCCCTCCGCCTCCCCACCTCTCCTGCCCCAGCTCTATGATGTCCTATTTAAGCACGTTTTCGGGGTTGGGCGTATGCGTGAAAGGTGTGCGCACATGCGAAGTGTGTGTGCGCGCGATGAACCAGTGGTAAGAATATTGGAAACCCATCGCCAGCGTGCATGTGTGTGTGTATGTGTATGTATTCTTGTGAACATACAGTTCTGCTGGGAAAATGTAGCGATAATTTAACTCTATTTATATTTGCAGATTTTGTCTTTTGATATGTGGATTAGGTCTGGGTAACTTATTTTGGGGTTTGAGGAAGTTTGCTAATTTGAGTAACTTGGAGACACTAATTCTCAGACCATTGTGGATTCTGTTAATATTTTAAGGGAAGATGGGAACAGCATAAACAATAAAATATATTTGGATTTCAAACTTTTCACTACCCTTGCTCTCTAACCTGGGCACAAATATTCCTCAGCAATATTGTTTTCCTGACATGTCTTCATAACTTTGCTTTTCTCTCACTGACAGCCTGAAGTCAACATTAGCCATTGCAATTTTATCATTAAGTTTTTATGCTTCTCATTTTTGTTGAGTTCCATCACTGGAGGTTTTTAAGAAGAGATTAGACATCCACTTGTCTGAAATGGTATAATGTCTCCTGCTTAACCAGGGGGTTGGACTAGATGACCTACTACAAGGTCCCTTCCAACTCTGTTAATCTGTATCCGAGTTTACTAGTGTTGGCTGCATCTATATATGCAGATTTGTTTATGTACCAGAGAACTTCCATTTAATGTAAAGATCAAAACCACAGAATCGAAGCCTGTAATTTAAATTGCAGTAAACAGCCAAGGGAGGGAGGAATATCATATATTATTACCGTGAGAAACAAAGAAAGTTTAGAAGATCGTTTGCAAATGTAATTCCAAAGACTGATTCATGAATCACATGAGCTGCCTTGTATTGCAAAGACAACCGTCGTACTATAATCAAACTGGCCATGGATTTGATCATAGACAACAGTAACTTTTTGTCTGAGACCACAGAGGGTTAAAAGAGACCTCGTCAACATGGCATGGACCCAGGGTTCTTTTCTTCCAAAAACTCAGTAGGGTGGAGAAGGGGAAGAGAAGCGGGGAGTGATAGAAATGAGCTACAAAAGCTGTGCTGTCGTTCTAGGCAGCAGTCCAAGAATTAAATATACGAGATGCCAAATGCGCAGAGACTGTCCTGCTCTATTAGGGAGAAGTATGGAGTAGGAAAAACACCACTGCAATCTTGTACATGTAAGGGTGCAGCCTTCAAGATTGCATCTGAGTTGCTACCTAATACGCAGATATAATTTTAGAGCAGTGGTGTGAACTACCTTAGTAGCTACATTCAGTTCAACTGATGTTTCAAAAGAAGGTGTCCCCTTCTTTTTATTTTTCTGCAACGTGGTTATGTACAACCGTTTTTTTAAATTTAGAACTGCGCTGCAATTCATAACCAGCGATACCATAGACGAAGTGCAGAATAAGTCAACAGAAATAGTTCCTTAATAAAAGGGATTCTAATTGTCCATGAACTTACATATAAGAGCGTTCTATAGCTAAACCCCCGATGTTGTTAAACTAAACACCTCTGTTAAAGAGGCACCCTGGAGAAGAGCTGCAACAGAAAATCTTATTGCATGGGTAGACTGACATGAAAATAATAATAATCCACCGTCAGGTATTTATAACCCAAACTGTTTATTAATTATTTGAAAATTAAGAACCAGTTCCTTGCATTGAGCCTGCAATGCACAATTTAATTCAGTGTCAATGAAATTTAAAATTGATATAATATTCACAACTGTGGCCATATCTGTAAATATTTTGCTCACTCTATTTTGAATCCTTTGAAGGACTTATTTATTAGTTTGATTTTTCTAGCCAACCAACTAGATGACTGGGTAGTTTGCAACAATTTTTTAAAAACTACCAACCCCCCCCCCTCCAAATACAATCATAAATACATAAAAATGTATACAAGCACTATAAACCAATTACCAAAATCCACAGCCAAGCTCTAATAAACAATCTACAGTCAGGATACCCACTGTATGGGCTGTACTGCCCAATCCAGATACCCATATTGGGTGGCAAACTGATGTATTTCTGATATCTTTAAGGCTTTATGAAAGATCCTTGGATGGTCTTCAAGGGCAGATCCAAATATAGGACATTGCAGCAATCCAAACAAAATATAAAGCATCATATCTGGAGCCTCTGTCTCACCTGAAATGAACATAGCTGTATGAAAAATCCCTGGGTATCACAAGGCTTCTTATGACAATGGTGGATATATTAGTACTTTAGAAGATTTACCAGCATTACTCTGTCTTTTACAATAGGGAACAATAGATATTTCATCCAGGGGTGGGCTGCTGGGGTTTCGCAGGGGTTCAAGACAACCTGTAGCTAAGATTCTGTGCAGTTCAGAGAACCCCCAAATCCCACTCCTGGCTGGCTGTGCCCACCCCTCTCCTCCCCTCCCCAGAGTCCCCACGCAGCCCATTTTGGATGCAGGTAAGTGCA